ATCCCTTCACTCCCTGGCACCTCCCTACCTCTCCGACCTTCTCACTCCCCAATCCACCACCCGGTGCATCCGCTCGACTGGAACCGGCCTCCTGCTCGTCCCTCACGCTCTCCAACCCACCATCGGAGGTCGCACTTTCAGCCACTACACCCTGAAACTGTGGAACACTCTCCCTCAATCCCTCCGCCATGCCCCCTCTCTCCCCTTTTTCAAGTCCTGCCTGAAAACCTTCCTCTTCGACCGTGCTTATGGCCACCTCCCCCACAACTCCCCCCCCCAAACCCCACTGGCTCGGAGTCAGGATCGCCACTGTTAAGTGCTCTGAGATGCTACCCTGCGTGGAGGGCGCTATATAAGTGCATGTTGTTGTAGTTGTTGTAATCTAATGTTACTGAATCATTTCTTGAACTGACATGTTAGATCATGTCAGGTTATTTTAAGGGTGCTGCCACCCATCGTTTTGTATTCAGGATTATTTTACATTGAGGATTGTTCTGCTCTGAGACGATACCCTGCATCTAGGGCGCTATATAAATGTTGTTACTGTTTAATACGGAGGATAAATATCAAAGTTGGGGCAGATCATGGAAAATAAACAAAATTGGTTACAGTGATTACAAATTGGTTATTTTCTGTAGCTCACTGTTGCGTTATGTAACCTGATAATATGTATTTCCTTCTTGGATGAAATAAACAGTTGCTTCATTCCGAGTTGCAGTCCAGCACACAACCTTTCCCACAGGCCTTGTTCCACTGTAAACGCAATGGATTTGAATACCAGCTCTGTCTTCATAGTCAGGGAAATGGGTTTTCCTATTTTGTGTTATTCTTGCACTCAAGGATTTCCTGAAATAACAATCCAAACCAATCAAGAGCTTCATATTTCTTCTAAGGGTCGATGAAGCTACTGTCAGTATTTAAATTCTAAAGTACTTCTCTCAGACATAGGAGATTTCATACAAGTCATAAGCAAATAAAACAGGTTAGACTTTACAATCAATTCATGACCTGGTTCAAAAGAATAAAACAATTGAATACATTTTAGAGCGGGATCATAGACAAGGACCTACAATCTCTTGTCACACAGACTCCTAACACGCCAAACAACTGCGGTTCATGACACAGTTTAACAGGAAAGATGAATGAATCGGTGAATGGTGTGGGCCAAATCTTTGACAAGACCACTGTGTTATCGAAGGAAGGATCTGTGGGTTCCTTCACTGATCTCCCATCCCAGTCTTTATCAGTTATACAGCAACATCTTCAACACAAGATGTTTGGAAAGTAATACAGAGCGATAGCTCTGTTTTGGGGACAAGGATAGACCCTTGACCTCCATTTATGATATTGGATCTCATCCATCGTTTATGAAGCTGATGCTACAACCTTTAGAATTTAAACTGTTGGAAAAGGTCCTACTTTCCCCCCCTTCAAACATGTAACCTTCAGATGCTGAAAAAGCCCCCTTGGCACTATGCACTGTTCCGTGCACACTGCTGTTTGAAGGAGCGGTTAGATATTCCAATGTGTTGCTATGGGAATGGGTTACCATGGCAATCAATTTACCAGCCCATCCATGCAAGATGCTTAAGTGCCGACCTGAGAATAAAAACAGCGGATCCCAGTGTTTCCATGGCTATCTGAGCATCTTTACAGTCCTCTGTGCTGCAACAACAAATTGCATTTATGTAGAATGCTTCTCGCCTTGGGAGGATGTCCCACGTCGCTGGACAATGAGGGGTTTGCACCCGAATTGGGATCAGAGAAGGGTGGAGGGCAAGTGGGGTGGAGGAGGGAAGATGACCGAAGGCCACGGTCGAAAAGGACTTGAGGCAGGTCTTGAAGGAGAACAGGGAGTCATTTCACATTGTAACAAAAAAAATTAATACTCTTAGTGCATGACATTTTTACTGGGAAATAAAGCTCACTGGTCAATTAATGATTGAGCCTGGAGAATATTTTCACAGGGGTTGGTTAAGCATTGATGCATTTTGTCAACAATCAATTTAAAGCTCTTATTCTGGTTCTAAAAAACAAACCTGTTGACTGTCAGATCAACATAATCTATATTACACTTACACATTGCTTTATCAAAACCTTAAAATATTCTGCTGCCATGAGTTTTCCTACAGTACATTAAACAACAGTGAACAGTCAACATAGTCAATTAGGACACTGCCCATTCACTTCTATAACCTGATTTAAGACCCAGGTTGGTGGGATGCAAGTCTCTTTTCTCCATTGGCTTCTAAATGATATCAATTTAGGCAATCTCAATTTTTGGTGGGTTATGCCCACACTATCAAATTGCCTGTAATGTAGTATTAATTTAGCATTAATCAGAATCAGTTAGACAATAACCGATGTGGTATTGTAATATTTGTGCAGTGGGTAAGGCATGGGTTAAGACACATTGCTAGAGCTAAGATTCATTTCACTTATGCAATTCGTACTCAAACAATACCTGAGCTGGACTGTTTGCTGCAGCAGAGCTGAACAATCTTTATTTAATCTATGGTATATGAGAGCTTAATGTTGACACTTCATTTTTCAACTTGATGAGTTCTATGTAGTATCTGACACACTGTAGTTCTTTAAGAAATAAACAGCAAATTACAAAGCATCTTCAATATATACACAGCAGTAGAACATCTAGCATGAGATCATAACAGTTTAAGTCGCAACAGAATGATATCCTAAACTCTGAGAATAAAGGTCACATGGATTCTCAATAAAAGCAAAAGTCTCAGATCACCGCTTTGGGATGTCCTTCCGGTGTGAAAGGCTTTAATACAATATAATAATATTTCTTGCATCTGATATAGCGCCTTATCACATCTTCAAGATGTCTCAAAGCGCTTCACAGAATATACCGTAAAATGAATTGACTATATTTTGTGGGCGAAACGCGGCAGCCAATTGCACACAGCAGTGTCCCACAAACAGTCAAGGAGTTCTTCGCATCGTCTCGTCCAGCTGAAGATCCCGAAGCTCCACATGATGCCCGAGGCTCCGTCCAAGGTCTTGGCTCCCAAGAAGGGCTTGAAGAAGGTGGCCTCCAAGACCCGCAGGAAGGAGGAGCTCAAGCGCAGGAAAGCCCGGAAGTAGACGTATGGCATCTACGTGTACAAGGTGCTGAAGCATGTCCACCCGGACACCGGCATCTTGTCCAAGGCCATGAACGTCATCAACTCCTTCATCACCGACGTCTTCAACTGCATCGTCTGCGAGTGCTCCCGCTTGATCCAGTACAACAAGCGGCAGACCATCTCCTCGCGGGAGATCCAGGCGGCAGTCTGGCTTCTGCTGCCCGGGGAGCTGGCCAAACACGCCACCTCCGAGGGCACCAAATCCGTGACCAAGTACACCAGCTCCAAATAAAGTCACTCCCGATTCCCCACATGCGGATGGACACACCACTTTCCCCTTTCCACCTTATACAATTATGCAATTTGTTGTTGCTGTTGTGGAGATTTGGCATGGTCTTTAACCCCAGACTCATTGATCTTATCCGTTAATGGAAAGGTAGATAACTTAACGATATATTTTCTTGTGGGTTTGGCTTAACATTTGGATATTGGGGTATACAATAGACGAAAAGGTTACAAGGAATGAATAGGGAATTGGGATCAATATCAAATTCAGTGAAAGAACAAGCACGAGCATAGAGCAGATTAGTCAAATGGTGTCTGTCTGTGCGGTAATTCATGATTAAACAATAAGCCCGTGTAATGGAACTGCATCAATTTGAACTGCACTGATACATTTTATTTCAATGCATATTGAGAGGAATCGCATACCCTTTATTTATTAGAGCCAACGTGATTGGAGTAGATCATAAATCACAAGAGAAAACCTTAAGGCATTTCGTCAGCTGTGAGATATGTCACTGCCTTAACACATTGCAGTAATAGTTTTTTTTTAAAAAAACTACAAATGAAACATTTCAGAGGTTGAGGTTTGGAAGTAACAGAATGGAGCAGTAAGTCTCACACACAATTTAAAGCGTGACCAGCGTATAGATTGTACGGAACTGAATATACGACCATGGTTACATGAATTTGTTTCAACTACCTGTAACCTGCTGTCAAATAGTTTGGATGATTTAAGTGCTCAAATGTTTTACTAGAAAATATTACACTCCATTATAACAGGATATAGCATCCGACAACTTGCATTTTGCATTTATATAGCGCTCCTCACACCGGATGGCATCTCCAATATTTTTAAACTGAGAGATGCTATTATGACCTTCACAATTTAATATATACACATTGAGCAGAACAGATGGTTCATCTGACTTTGCTTTTGATCGCCCAGATCTAAATGCCACACACCCAGGTCAGACAAACTTTGAGGTAAAAGCCTTTGAACGTTCAAAGGGCCAATGGGGATCTTCAAATCATTTCACTAACATAACTGACGTTGTCTGCTGATGCTCTTGGTGTCATCACACAAGAAAACAGACGTTGAAGTTCATTAAAGCTGCAGGTTTCCAGTAGGTCTGTGCAATGTCGGCCGTTTTGCTTACAATAAAAACATTCATTCTTTAGTTTCTGAAGTGATTTCATGACCACTTGCCAGCAGTTTCACAGGAAAACTATCAGAACGAAAAAAAATTCTAAACCGTGCACATTTGTATATTACATAACTAGAGGTACGATTTACATCAGTGTAAGTTGTCAGGACTCATTCACTCACTCTTCTTCACATTACTTTTTCCTGGACCAAGACTGCTAAACCTCTGATGTATTAAGAAATCCCCAGTTAGTAAGGAATGGTGGTAAAAACAACTTTCCCAATGATGGAAAGTTCTGTGTAGGCGAGTGCTAATGAAACCACTTCATTATCATTCCGGAGGTTAACTTCAACCATTGGTGATGACTGTCCCTCTACGACAACCTGTCTTACTTTGGTTTATAATCTGAGCAGAGGAAATCTGGTACTGATGTTTTTATTTGGGAGGAAAAAAATATAAATATGAAGTACAAACCCAGTCATTGAAATCTGAATTGTTTTTATTATGCAGCTATTTTCCATAGGTGCTCACTCGCTCATAAAATAAGTACAGACAGAAACAAAAGTCTTAGATAAATGGACTTCATTGAACCATTGTTTCTCTGGGGAAGCACTATTCACCAAACAAGATGCTGGTATACATTTCTGGCCTTTTTTCATGTAAATCTACTGATTTTATATTCTCCACCACCTTTTTCCTCAAATTATGCACCATCTTTGATAAAGCTGCTTCTGTATCTCCACCCACTGGAAGGTGTGAAACCAGTCCAGAGTAAACCGCTCTACAGCTGTCCCATTTCCTCCCCGCTCTTACTCTCTCTCTTCCCCTTCACCCACCAGCTCAGGTGCGGATCCCTGACTGTGCAGCACCTTGGGACATCCTCCTGATGTGAAAGGCGCTAAACAAATCCAATTTGTTGTTATTAAGAATTTGTTCTCAGCATAGTGCTATACTACAACAATATGGCTGGTACCTACAGCTCTCTGCATGGAATCTGTCCTACTTTTCTGGCACTAAGCCATAAAATTCAACTTACAACTACTATTTAAAAAAAATCACTTCCAATTAATTAAGACCCAATCACCTCTGAATATTGTCCATTCCCCACTTCCTCTGTTCCATGATCATGGTGGAAGTTTCTTTCAAAATCTCTTCACCTTACTTTCCTTTCCCTCCAACTTCAAAACCCTCCTTGTAACGTTTTTTTGGAACGTTCCTATAAACATTCTGCTTTTGGTCAACATTATTGAATCTCCTTTCTCTACATCATAAATGTTCATGCTTCAAGGATTTCATTCTTTATGAGATGCTAAATAACAAGCAAGTGCTAGTGACTGTAAACAAAGGTGGCTGTGTAATCTTTACAAAATTCTTCTTCTTCCTACTTTACAGGTAGTGACAGGTATGAGGAAGACTCGAAGGTAAAACTATCTCCTACCTGAGAAACACGATTAAAGTGCAGACAGGATTGGAATACACATTTGGTTCCCAAGTCCATATTTCTATGTTCTGAAGTCAACAATTTAAAATAGAGTTGTTAGCTACTATATCATCCCTCCCCGATAGCTCCACTGAAACAGTGATCATAGCAATAATTCAGCAGAAGACAAAATCTTGCATTTTTGTTGAAGGCACATTTCTTCCAAAGATTTCAGAGAAAAAAAATCTTTGCTCTAAATATTGTATTTTTTGAGGTGTTTTTACAACACTTCTCCATGTCACTGCCTGCAGTGCAATGCCATTTCATATCATTTATTTTAAAGGGTAGGCATTTTGTGTGGCATTTTATCAGCAAGAGTGCCATAGAAAGTCACACACGGAGTTCTAAAAATACAGTATTGGGTCATAAACGACTCGGCTTCAATTATCACTTGTGGTAATATATTCCACATTCCAATTAACTCACAATTCAAAACAGGTGGGGGAACAGCATAAACACAGTGTTTGAAGTCTGTAACATGAATATCACATAAGTTTGAAGTTGGCACAATGAAGTGAACATAAATTAAAATGAGGAGGGCAATGTACACTTTTCCCCTGCATTAAACTGAGCACCTGAATCAATTACGGTAAATTTCTTGTGAAATATTTCCTGAGGAAAGTATTGAGCGGATTGAGCTGCCTTTTTATTCACTATCTTTTAGTCACTTACATTATTGGATCGCATTTGATTTACTTTCTCTCTATTTTCAAGTAGATTCATTTCCTTCCACTTTTCAAGTTCACAAGCTTTATCTACTATGGTTGAGCTCCAGAATTTAACATTCTGCTGGCTCGGATCATTTTCAAAGGCATGCGCTTTTCATTCAAGTACAAATCCGAAGTTACCTTGTCTTCAAATACTGCCTTTTGGTTACATTAATGACTAATGTCCCAACAGACCTTAATGTGCAAAACATTTCAAATGATGCACAGATGTTAAAAGATAAAAATAAATATCTGTTAAGATCCTTTTGTAACTATTTACATATGATTTACAAACATTACTCAATTCTTGTCTGTGCAAAAAAATATTAGAATTTTGCTGTAAGCTGTCTTGAACTGACCAACAATACCATGTGGTTGACAAAAACATTACAGATTGAGGTATTAGAAATAGACTGAGGTCAAGCACCACCATAGCAACCCACAGCAAATAGTGATCACCACTGCACCACACAAGTTGTGTTAAAAGAGTTTTCCATCCAACTTCTTAAATGACTGAAACCTGCTGCAGTCACACAGCTCCATCACCGACACAAGTCGTGGGAGTTGCTACCTCCTGCTGCAGAGTTTTCTCAGCGTGTGTGCGGGCCCTGCGTTTAGCAAGCCTGGATTTAGAGGGAGGGGAAAGTCTCATGGAACAGATGGCCTTGACGATGGCTTCCTGCTCTTCATGCATCTCCTCGTCGTGTTGAGAGAGCTGCCTGTTAAAGGCTATGGCTTCTGCTGCAAACTGAGTCAGATCTTTTGTGCTCCCGTTTCTGAAGGAGAAAAAGTAAGTTAGCTAGAATCTTCTTGTAAAATATCTGATTGTACAACACGATTTTATAACACATACAACTATGCTAAAACCCACTAAGAGTAAATCATCATCCAAGATATAAAAACTATGAAATAAATCAGAAAGTAAGAAGAAATTCAATTTGTGCAGATAAACAGACCGATTTAGCAAAACGGTACAATTAATTCACAGACACAGCGTGACTCACCAAACAACAAGAAATGACACTCGTATAGCGCCCTTCACCTCGGAAAGATGTCCCAAAACAAAAATGGTACCAAGAGAATAATGAACATCTAGATTTCAGATAATGAACAAATCTCAACCTAATCGTATCCCTCACTTACACCATCATGATGAAACTAACATTTTAAAATCTCCCATATATTTCTATAACAGAATAGAGTTTATATGGGAGATCCAGTCAATCATCAGTCCATTTTGATGCCTTGGTCAGTGGTATAAAAACTTCTTACCTTTGTAATATCTGGGGTGTTGGCAGACGTCTTTCTGGTGCATTCTGCAAAGAAAAGCATCTTTTTCAGTTTTAATTGCTGGAACATTTCTACAGAACAACAACAACAAGATTTCATTTATAGAGCACCTTTCACGTCAGGAGGACGTCCCAAGGCGCTGGACAGTTGGATCAGGACCCGAGCAGGGGGGGAATGGTCAGGGTGAGGGGAGGGAAGGGAGGGAGCGAAGAGTGGGTAGAGAGTCGAGAGGGGAGCTGAAGGCTCGGTCAAAGAGAAGAGAACAGTTGTACTTCCACCACTTGTTAACTACCAATTATCATGAGATATGGTTATTATACACTACATCTTCAGCAATATGAAATGGCAACATTCCTTAGCAGTCTGTGTAAATTGCAATTGTTAGCAGCAGATTTAAAAAAAATAAAAGTAAATGCCGGGATAAAGATGGGCAGTGTAACTAAATTTATCCATGGAATATGTTAATTAAAAAAAATGTTGTTGAATAATGTTTCCAGATGCCTTGTTCTAAAGAGAAAATCTTGCAGTTATCTCAAGATTCATGCTGCACATCTTACTGCGCACTAACAATGTCGCTTTACCCATCTACCTCAGTTATTCCCCTTCACTCTTCTCTCCCCCCACCCCACCTATCCATTAAAGACATTTTATATTCCTCAACTTGTATAAATCAATGAAAATTCTATACTTGCTCTGATGCATTCAGCCTGAACTCTTCATGGGTTCATGTTTAATGAATGCATTACTGTTGGGTGTTGCTATGGGAATGAAATACTAGCTCAGAGAGGAAGAGGTTTGCTGCATTTAAAATAGACAAGCAGAGAAGTGTTCAGGGGCAGAAAACCATCTCTTGAACTTCTACAGTGTTTTAAGGGTTAAAATTTTTACCACCCAATACCATGGCACCTAGCCTCCTCCCACCAATCCCACTTTGCCTGTTCACACTTACCCCCTGCACCCAGGGGTGCTCAAGTACCTGTGCAGCACTTAATCTGTACTTTGCATCACGCACCAGCAATTTGCAAATTAAATCCTTTGCCCCATCTGATATACATGCCCAATCCTTTTCAGGGAACTCGTATTTGCCTTCTTGAATACTCTCAAAGAGCATGTTCTGCAGAAAAGAAATGTTAATTCATAACTAAATGGAACAGTACACTCTCCAAAAGAGCAGATATTATTTTCAGTAAAAGCAACTCTTCCCATTGCCTTCATATGAAATGCACCCTTTGCACATACAGTGAATAATAAAGTGACTTATTTTGTTTTATTTGAATAGAAAAGTGCCCGACATCAACAATTCCCTTTAAGTGACAAATGCCCAATTATATCTTCCCCATCCCTGACAAGCATTCCCATTTCTTACAGCCACAAAAATAATAAAGATTTCCCTCCCAATGTATTTACATTACACCATTACCCTTGCAATTTATCACATCTGAACAAGCTGCTACTGTTGGATTGCTAAAGTGCCATCACAGATTGCTGTGAAAACGCATGTTGGTACTGTGTATAGAAATGGTGACCAGATTCTAGCACATTGTACAGAATTTATAGGGTCCAGAACAGAAATTTTTTTGTGACCTTTATCAGTTTTGTCCTACTGTTGCACAATCCTATTGTAAAACCACATTTCACCTTGATAAAAATGCACCCATTTGTCCTCAGTTGTAGAAAATCTGTGTTTTCCCCCATGTCACCCACAATCACCAGTGATGAGAGTAGACATTGTAATTACCACAGGTCCAATGCAGCTCCTCCTAGCAGATGAGATTTTATTAAATATAATTGAAGTAGTCATTCTGCCCATCCATGGCGGTTTTGATAGTCCTAATAGGATATACGATGATGCCAAACAATCTGCTTTCTGTATTTTACATTATGATAGAAGTAGTTACTCAAGACTTGATGCAGACACAGAAACTCCATTCTGCAACTCTTGATATTTCTCACCTTATTGAACTAAAATTTCAAATATTTCAAACCACACACACTATACTGAAGAACATGGAGAGCAAAGGCTTATATCACTTGTCTCTTACCTGACAAGCTCTACAAGCCTCTCCTCTGTCCCATCCACAGCTTGACCCACAGTTCCCCACAAAGGGTGGGTATCCACTCAGCATGATGTAGAGAATAACCCCAAGGCTCCACAAATCACAGCGCTTATCATAAAACGATGCTTCTTCTGTGAAGATCTCTACCACCTCAGGAGCCATGTACTCTGCAGAACCACACTGAGGAAGAAAGATGAATTAAAGTAAGAGATATTGACCAATGATTGCCAAATAACCCAAAAGGCACCAATTAGACATCTAAAGGAAGAAATAATTAATAACATTAATTGTGGAGTTAGTGGTTAGAGCACTTGCTTTGCAAGTGAGAGACCTGAGTTCAATTCCAGGTAGAGCGAAACCTTGGGCAAGTTTCCTTACTCCACACAGAGCCTAATAATAATCCCTCCAAAAACCAGAAACAATAATAAATTGGTCATTTTCAATCTATGACTGTTTGTGGGCATTGCTGTGCGCAATTGGCTGCCGCGTTCGCCCACAAATATACAGTCAATTCACTTTACAGTGTGTTCTGTGAAGCGCTTTGGGACGTCCTCCCGACGTGAAAAGCGCTATATCAAATGCAAGGATTATTATTATTATTATGATCAATAGCAGTAAATAAACATTGGAATCAAGGACAAAAACACTTGCTACTGTTGCCCAATTTCAGCACTATATAACAACTTTGTGTAATTTAGCAGTAACGTTATCAATACCACTTCTATCACAAGTTTGCATCACCCAAGCTCTCGTAACTGGGAAATCTACGTTTACAGGAAACGACAACCACAGACTCTGTCAATGTGGCAAACAGCAGCCTGTAGATACCCATGAAAGTACTTGTGAATTAAAAGCTACCAAGTGCTGCATACAGCAGTAGGTGACAGCAAGTAAGTGTTTTGACGACAACAATAATCTACTCAAACCAACAGCTTGTGTGCATAAATGCCCTTAAAACTCAATTTCCAATATGCACAGAACACCTGTCGCGCTTTGACAATATTCCCTTCATTGTACTCCAGTGCACACATGCATTTAAAAGAACTTTCAAAACTCCAAAAGTTAGCACTGCTTTGCATACTGGTTACATTTTATGTATTTAATATTTTAAGAATGTCAAAACTTTTGTATGGTAGCTTAAAAACGTCATTTAATTCTACGTGAGATAAAATAGGTTTGCTTCCTCTAACATCAACACTGAATGTACTGTGTCACTGGAGGCTATCTCTAATGTAAATAGATCCTAAAGTGTCTGAAAACCTGTACTGCATTTTTAAATTTATATCATTCATTTTCAGTGTTATGTATTTGGTCTGAGACAATGACAGATACACCATTGTACATAGTATTGTCCCGTTTTTCGGCAACATATAAAGAAAACGAAAGATGTCAAACAACAGAATAAAAGTGAAAACAAATTACATGAATGACAATGCAGCCGGGAGTCTTTTCAGGAAACACAAATTGAAACGAAAGCTGCAATAATGTTTACATACTGGAGTCGTCAGTTCAGGAGTGGTTATAGGCGTACAAGCACTGCTCAGCTTCACCCCACTACCGAGGTCAAAGTCACAAATCTTCACAGGGGATATCTGAGGGAAGACAGATGGAAACAAGAACGTAAATAAAACATGGAATGCGCATTCATTCACTGAGTCTACTCCTTCCAGACTATGTACAATAATAATACTTGGATTTGATATAGATCCTACAATGTTGAATGCCTCAAAGCACATCACAATGTTTCTGTGAAATGCACTGACTATTTTGTAAGTAAATGCAAAAAGCATTCTGTGAATAGCAATGACCCACAAACAGCCGTCAAGTGAATGACCAATTTTATCTGGATTTTACTGCCATAGGATCTTTTAACATCAACCTGAACAGGCAAATGGGACTTCGGTTAAAACGTCTCATCCGAAGGTCAACGCGTCTGATAATGCAGTAACTCTTCACAGCAATATAATGGAGTGTCAGGCTAGACTAGTACTTTCCTAAATAGGTGGAACGAGAGAATCCTTTTAAGTATAAAATTAAACAATTTCTAATAAAATGTAGCCTATTCTCATCTCAGCAGATGAAAGAACTCAATGACACATTTGGTGACCCCCTGGATTGCAAACATAAATGTTATCTCTTTCAAACGATTGAAGTGTACAGAGGTCACTGCCACTTTTAGCCCTCCCCTCATGAGTTGTGAAAACTCCAGAAGCTATAGATAGCTCTAAACTGGTTCAAACCGTTTCAAAAGTTGATAAGAGTTGAACAAGACAGTAGGTAGAATTGGCTGCGACTTTCCGGGCATTTATCTAGATACTCAATGTGCCCTCACAAGATATCTGCCTACACCTCAAGAAGATCCAACAAAAGACTTTCATAAGGGTCTCTTAAGAGCCGAGTCTCTCCAAATACCGGCATTGTTTTTCTTTAGATTAAATCAGCCCAGATCATTAAAATATCACAGGAACATAATGTTCACTAGATGTCAGCACGTATTCAAGAAAACTCTTATCCTTGTTGAGCTAGTCAACTGAGGGTAAAAAAATGCACTCCCAATTTAAGTAACCAGGAATTTCATGAAGATTTATGGCCATAGAATAGCACTGTGATTTGATAAGTGCAGACATCATAAAACACATAATTTAAAAAGAATATATCAAATCAACGTCTAACTTAAATCAGTAAAACAACATGTCACTTTTCCTGATTCAATGGCTGCCTGGAGGCAGAAACCACTCTTTTATTTTGTAAAGTTAATTCCCATCTCTCCTCCTCATTCCTTTACGAAGTTTAATGCAAAGTCTTTTTACTCGAAGAGAATTCAGAGCAAAGGAATCGAGCATGAAGCCTCAGCCACCCACGATAAGAGAGAAATTAGTAGAGAATGAGAAATAGACAGTTTGATGAGAGGAAGATAGAGGCTGGAATGAAGGACTAGAGGATTTGATAGGTGGGGTGACACCATGGAGTGATCTGAAGACCAGAACAAGAATCTCGCAAGTGTTGCTTTTATTCCAGAATTTCAGCATCAGTACCATATTCTCCAAGACATTAACCAGATCCCAAATGTTCAATGTAAAACACAAAAGTGCATATCGGTGCTGAAATTTATGACAGTAAAAAGATCAAACAGGTAGGTAGTCTCTCAACAGTTAGCACCTCAGTACTTGCTGTATCATAAATGCAGCCAATGTGAAGTTGGTCTAGAACTTTTAGAAGTTTATTTTTTTCTATAGAATTCCTCTTTAGGGCATTTAGTTACAATTTTTTTAAAAAAAACTTCCACTTGGTTGTAGTTCCACAGCAATCAGGCACCTCTACCTCACTCGGGTAGCCATTAATTACCTACAAATCTCTACATGAGTGCTGGCAAAGTATAAGCGCTCTGAGATGCCGTCCGGCGTGGAGGGTACTATATAAATCCAAGTTGTTGTTGTTTTTGTATTCAACCACAAAGCCATTGAAATAGAGAAAAACTCCTTCCTGCCTAATGTCTCCACATATTCTATCTCCATCCATCGGAGAATCCAGATTTACAATAAGGAAAGGAAGCCCCAATTGACTTTCTATTTCCTAACCCTAGACACAAAATCAATTGTAGAATTCCTACTACCATACCAGATCAACTAACTCAGCACAAACTGAAGACACTGTGCACTTTCCACTCACGAGCATCTTATATTTCATTACAGGGCAAAATACATAAGGGATGCAAGATAAATTTACCTGTTCTGCAAATTCACAAAGGATGTTTTCCGGCTTCAGATCTCTGTGTGCTATACCTTTACAAGGGGGGGGGGGAGGAAAACAAATAGCAATTATGGAACAGAAGTAATAAAAAATCTCATGGTCAGAGTGTTGTGAATTTGAATCTAGTTGCTACATAGAATAAGTGTCCGAATTTCATTTATTACACTACCAACAGGAATACTTTACAAATAATGCATATTAAATGGCCTTATAGGCAAAAGGAGTCCTGTAGCTCAGTGGTTAGAGCACTCACTTTGCAAGTGATAGACCTGAGTTCAATTCCAGGCAGAGGGCGAAACCTTGGGCAAGTTTCCTTACTCCACACAGAGCCTAATAATAATCCCTCCAAAACCAAAAACAATAATAAATTGGTCATTTTCAATCTACGACTGTTTGTGGGACATTGCTGTGCGCCATTGGCTGCCGCGTTCGCCCACAAATATACAGTCAATTCACTTTACAGTGTGTTCTGTGAAGCGCTTTGGGACGTCCTCCCGACGTGAAAGGCGCTATATCAAATGCAAGGATTATTATTATTATTATTAAAATCACCAATATTATGATTTCACCTCCAATTCGTCATGTAAAATACAGTTTTCTGATTTAATTCAAGTCATACACTGCCTTGCCTGAATCTCTGTACAAAATGGTAGGTCTGGGCAAGAGAACGGCACAATGGTTGCTGCCTTGTACACTTGCCCTGCTAAACAGGTTAGTTGTACCTCATCACCCAACAAAGCAGAATAACTGAAATTTAAAAGCTACAGAGAGACAATATGCATTTGTCCAAGCTGATGCCAAATCTGTTTCTATAGCCTCAAGTGAACATTAACCAGATGCATTCAAAATGTGCTCCTGCATAATTGCTGCTATGACTAATATAACGCAACAGCTACTTTAAATTAGAGAGCTTCTAGATCAGCTAGCCACATACGTTTTTACTGTGCATGCTGAATTTTGCCTAATGTTCAACATATTTAAGTACATTTAGTAAAAGATGAAACTGCACTTGCCATTCCTTCCTCCGATCAGCACATCAAATACAACATCAGACAAAAGGGCCCCATAGCAGCGTGTTTTTTTTCCCCCCAACTATATCTCGGCTGAGATTATGAAACAATGTTAGCAAAAATAAGCACTTATTCTCATGCATGTTATTCTTGTACATTGTGCATCCATCAGGCATTCTGTAGTGTGTGGATATTAAGTGGATTACATTATAAGAATAACATTAAGTGCTTCCTACAGACAATGGGTAGAGATGGCTAATGGCTAAGAGTGGATTTAAAGGTTGCAATATACTGCACTTAGTACATGATGTACAACTCTATGCACTTTATACAACAAAGGATGAACAGTGGTCAAGGAAACAAACCATCCAAGTTGACATTTTAAACACAATCACAAACTGCAAGTACAGTTCTTATGATTTTCACTAATAACTTTCTTTTAGTCACTCATACCTTTGGTGTGCAAGAAGTCCAAAGCAGATGCAATGTCCTTCACAACAATACTCGCTTCTTTCTCATTGAAGTGCTTTTGTCTCTGAATGTGAGTCAGGATTGAGCCTAAAGGTTACAAATTCAATCGATTTAGAAATGACTATTTCTCCACAAATGGGTTTCTACAGAAGATAGAATGAGGGTGTAGCCAGGATCCTATGTAGCCTTTCCTGCCAGCGCAAGAATACTGCAACACCCAGTAGTAATCAGAAAGTCTACGCCTGTGATTCTACACAAAATGAGATTCTGATCATGTTACTGCAGAACTTCAGTGTTGGACGTAAAATGAGTAAGTTCCATGTTAGGGAACTGCCTCTTAGTTAATTATTTCATCCTCTTCACAGCCTAACTGACTATGGGATGCTGCCAGTCGGTGCTTTGATTCAGAAAACACTTTTCCCTCCTACTCTCCCACAAGATAAAAAGATCGCTTTCTTGTTCTTCCTCTGATCTAAACTTCTTTCCGAAATGAGTTCAGTGACATGCATGCTCAATGCCTTTTCAGTTGTTTTTGTTTTGAACGAACTGCTAAATTAAAGCAGTCAAAAATAAGGCATCCTAACTCACTATTTTATCCAGTTTGCAGAAACCCTAACCTCAGGGAAATCCTAACTTCAGCACATTTCTTGGCAATCTTCAGAATTTGTCTGCCTTAGTACAAACAATAACTCCTTTGTTAACTGATCAAAGTGCTCAGTCTTATTTATTGACTGTTATGGGCTCAGAGGATGTACTGCAATTTGTACAGGGTTATCACACCTATTTACAAGACCACCTGCACAGTGTGACTAATATTAGACTGAAGTGGTGGGCATGGGTGGGGTGGGAGGAAAGAGGAGGCAAGGAAAAAAAGAGTGGAACATATTGAACAGAAACACTTAAAGGTTGGAATTGGGTTTCTACAGCACATTTTCAAGTCAGAGGTCGTAATCAATGAAATCACAGAAACGAAGGAAGGAGCAATTTCTTTGCCAGAACATAATAAACCTGAATTAAACATGGGAAGTAAACAAATTGCGGCAGCTTCTCCCAACCGTTTACACTAATGCATTTTACATTTGTTTACAACAGGATTAGTCACAGGCAAAATAAGCTTGAACAAAATTTGCGCAGCTGGTGCCTGTCAATTACTAACAGTCAAGCTAACACTTGTCCACATTAAGAACATAAGAATTTGCTACGCAAAAGAAGACCAAGGTCCATCTAGTTCGCCTTCCACCATCCTGGCAATTGCTTGACATATCGTGGCCCAAACTATATACTGTATCCTGTGATATTATTTTTTAGCAGAAATCTATCCAATTTGTTCTTGAAACAAATTATATTTTCTGTCTCCCTAGGGAGCCTGTTCCACACGGTTACTACTTGCCTTGTTATTTTGAGTAAACTTAATAAAATGACAAAAATATGGCACCCGTAAAAAATAAATTTGTCTGTATCCACTGTCTATGATGAGCGTCGGTGAGTCTTTATCATTAGCATAAACAATGCTTTTCAAGTAAATATTTCAACATCTCAATGGCCCTGGTGAGAGATTTTCTAACAATACAATAAAAACACTATAGAGGCTGTAACAAATTATCGTACATATGAAAAATATTTCAGATATCAGAGACCCAGTGGCTCATTATGTATAGGAAAAAAAGCTAATTCTAAGGTAATTAAAATCCTGCAATGTCCACGTAAACCAGGCTAGCAACGATGAGCAGTTATTAATAGTCACCTGAGAATCAAGACGAGCTGGAAATCATATTATTTAATTCCTAGGGAGAGTCTTCAAACAAATTGATTGGCAATGGTGATATTAGTAGGAAGTTCTGTGTAAAACATATTAATGCTTTTGTGCAGCAATGCTTCTGAATAACATCATAAAGCAGGACTGCAGAGGTCAAGTGTTTTTATTAACACAGTCTTAAATCCAAATACAAAGCCATGTAACACCTTGTATTTAATTTTGTTCCATTTGAGATGTACACAATTATGCATTATATAGTATTTGGAACCCTAGGCTAAGATTATCAGCCTGTATGGGGGGTGGGAGTGGAGGAGAGAAATGGAGTGCCTAGTTTTTCCTTTCCAATTCTCAGGAAAGGGAATTTCCAATTTTAGCTTCCACAGCAACCTCAATTCAAATTGAATAGGAATCAAAAATGTACATTTTGCAGATGGGTGGGATGGGGTCACAATTCTTAAAATCAAATTGTATTCTCTCTCAAATTGCTGCACTCTTATAAAATGCTATTTTAACAAAGCAAACTAACTATATTTTCATTTTAAAAAACACTAAATGAATAGATTTATATCATAGGGCATGCTAGGCTACCCTTTTTTAAAAAAATTAAGAGATTTGACTGCCTGATGCCGTCTTAATATTGTACCACTCAATTGGTTTGGATATAGACTATTTTTTTACACTCCTAGTTCCACATCATAGCACTGCATAATGCATTAAAAACAAATTGCTGCCAAGAAAACTACTGTCAGGTCTAATTGCCTGATGCCACTTTCTACTATGATTTACATCAAAGAGGTGTTGAATTTGTATGCATGAGCGGCACACCTGACATCACTGTGCCATTCATGATGATATCATACATTCACACATATGGAATGGCACCAAGGCCTCTTGTTCCAGCAACACATTTTGTTATAGATGTGAGGCAGCTCACTGCCAGGGGGCAGATTGCACTAGAGTTGGAAACTTCCTCCGCTTTGCATTACAAATTTGCCCGAAATCCAAACACTAATCAGGGGTAATGAAGTAGGATAAATTGGCTCACTTTTTATCTACTTCTGGCCCTTCCTGTCAGAAAGCAGCCCACTCTTCCTCTGCTCAGTAACTGGCCTACCCTTTCCAAGAGCCAGGGGACAAATTAAATTTATCACCAAGTCACATCCTGCCCCCCGTGATACAACAAATGTATCCGCACTGCCTCCAACCCAAAGTACTTTACAATGCTCAGTATTTTTAGCAAGAGAGAAGAAACAAAACCCACCTCCTCGCATTTTTTCAAACACCAGGTAAAACTGAGCTTCATCTTCAAAAAATTCAACCAGTTCTAAAATGTTCCTGAGATAAAAAGAAACAACACTTTTAAAAATTCCAAAAGCCTTCAGTGGACAACACAGAGGATTATAAAACACTGTCCCAGCTGAATGAAAAACAAATGAAAACATTCGATCATGGCCTGATTGCCTTTCTTCTCAGCTCATGTGTCCCTGCAGCCAGTTATCCGTAATCTCTCACTGGTATTCTTCCACCTCATTCAACAACGATCCACCCTGAGCAATAATTCCCAAAACAGATTTGTCTCTTTTATTGGATAGCATCCATTTGACAATTTCATATTTGTGCAAATGGATTTCTGTTTCTTTTAAAAAAATGCTGGTTTATTCAAGCAGTGTTTGGCTGAAAAACAATCGTCAACTTAAAATACTGAGCAGCACATTCACATTAAAACATCCTATATTTCAATAAGACAGAATTTTTAAAATTATTGAGATCTCTAGAATTAACATTAAGGGCCAGGATGAGGGTCGATTCACACTGCTTCAGACCTGCTGCACAGGATATTTTCTGTGTCCAACAAGCGAGATAATTTGAGATTTCTCCTCGTACATGTGGAAGATTTAATTAATACATTTTAAATTCCTCCTTCAAAAATTATTTTGGGAGAAGAAATTTTACATTGAAAATAACTAAACCCATGTTCCCTTGATATTCACAAGCAGATGTGAGATGTTTATGGAGATACTTGTATTCAGCAATTAAAACTAATCATAAATAAACAAGTATGCATATGTGACAAGCCTAAAGGGGGAATGCAAGAAAAATTGCAAAATAAATTAGTCCAGAAACGAAGGACGAAGGTGAAGTTTTGTTCATTTTATTGGCCACAAGGTAGGTAACTGAGTACTAGAAAGTGAATAACAGGATTCCAGTCTTTTGGGGAAAGAAACATTGTTAGGGCTTAAATGTCTGAGACTCTAGATTTCTTGTAATGCAGTATTATTTGAGTAAACAATCAAGTTAGCAAGAGTAAAGCGCAATAAATAAAATCTGGCATGTTTACGTGCAGTGAATATTGGAATTAATGGAATTTAAAAGGGTTTATAAATACACATTCAACAAAGAATATTCATATACTAATTTGCAGGTGACATACGACTAAGGTATTAGATCCATATAGAATAAGGTGAAGCAAATTATACAGCATTTGTTCAAATCTTATTCCAAGCATTGTGACCAGCTTTAGTTAAAATCCAATTGAAAAAAGGAGTTGGTACAAAAAGTTTTAAGGGCAACAAAAATAACACTGGTCTTAAATCAATCAGTGGTAGAGAGAGCCAAAGGGAGCACAAGGTGATGTTACTGGGGAAAAAAAGACCAATGAGACACAAGATCAAATACATTAAACTCAGAAAGGAAATTAACAGAGTAGATTTGCAGATTGCTTTTGTATTGAAGCAGAAGAGAATGCAAATACAAGCTTTAAAAAAACCTTCAAGGTTAAACATAATTAAAGGAACAACTATGTCTGCCTCCAGGATGGAACTTATCCAATTTCTGTTCTTAAAGAAAGATGGACAACTGTTTTCATTTGATAGATAAACAAAGAAAAGAGTTCTGTTTTGAACCACAGCAGCACAGAGTTGAGACACAAGAGTTTAATCTCCCAATTCACTGAACTTAGCCACACTGGATAGGGAGACACCAAGCATTGCCCTGAAGAGGACGATATAATCAGAGGCTGAGACAATGATCTAATTTCCTACCTAAATATTGTTAAAGCCCTGTGTGTCTCTCCTTGGCTGCAGTTGTGCAAGCCCCAGGGAGACCTGAAAACAAGAAATTGAAAACAATTACCCTTTAAAAGGTCTGTGGGGCAGTTCACTTTGTAGTGTAGACAGAATTATCCATTCCAGGAAGTTCTTCAGTTCAATACTTGAACTGTGCTTTGATCTCAGCCAGGTTGATGGCTGTACTGGTCTCAATAAGAGGAAAATAAGTTAACTAGGGTTCCCGTTAGCTACCAGTGCTCCAGTGTAGAAATTTACAGCACAGAAAAAGGCCATTCAGCTGAACGTACATGTGTGAGGGTTTGACAGACAGAATGAGGCTCAGCTCTCATTGTTAAGTAGTCTGTAAACACTCACTGTCTGGGCTCATACAAGCAGAATTGCCTTGCAGTGATTGAAAGGCTATATGGTCACTCGCACCTATATAGTGAAGCAGGAGTTTTCAACTTCAGCAAACAACGAGGGGAAAAAAAACACTATGTGGGAGGGGGAGGATGGAGGGAAAGAGAAGGCAAGTATACTAAACAATTAAAAAAAAGTTCAACCATCATAGCGTCACCCCCAACCACTGAAATTAACCAAGTTATTAAGAGCAATGGCTTTTGGTACAGCAGTCTTCAGAGTCTGAAACTTACTGATTTCCCTGACACTGATATAAAGTCTCAACCTCACGGAACACCCGACTTCGGCTCAGATCTATTTTTTTCTCAATGACCTACAGAAAAAAAATCAAAACATGCTTATTTCACTGTTTTAGTTCATGTAAAATAAATACCGTAGATGGAAACGTGCCTTTTCACTGGCTTCCCATCACAGTTCAAGATCCTGGTCCTCATCTTCAAAGCCATCTATGGCCTTGCTCCCAACTACCTCTGTTACCGCCTAACCCCCTACCAACCTGCTCGCTTCTTCCACTCAGCGGGCTCCGGCCTGCTTCACGTCCACCTCGTCCACCCCACCATTGGCCGATGGGCCTTCAGCCACTCGGCCCCCACCCTCTGGAACTCCATCCCAGTCAATCCGCCTCGCCCCCTCCCTTGCCTCATTCATGATCCGCCTCAAGACCCTCCTCTTCGACCGTGCGTTCGATCATCCTCCTTCCCCCCTGCCTGCCCTCCACTCTCCTCCATCCCGACCCCCAGCTCAGGTCCGAAACACTGATTGTCCAGCGCCTTGGGACATCCTCCCGACGTGAAAGGCCCAATACAAATGTCATTTTGTTGTTTTCCTGCAACTTCAATATGCTAAAAGACTAACCAGTCAACTACACAAGCTACACTCATACAACACTTTATTAGAATGAATCTTACTAATGTTTAAATTAATAAATCATATTAGTTGATACTGCATCGCTCTGTGACCCTTTGTTATGGTCCTCCATGAATTGTAACAAGCCTCCTTACCTTTACAGCATATTCCTTACCACTGTGCAGATGCACACTGCTTCGAACCTTTGCATAGGCTCCTTCACCCAGGCATTCATCTGTTAACTTGTACGAATCTGTCAAAGGAACAAGCATCATTTCATTCAGAGACCAGGGTCTTCCACAATCAGAAAGCAAATATCTAGCTGGTTGTTGCTCTGGCCAACAATTATTTCTATTTAAGAAAAACTTTGCGAGAGCTGGTTATAATTGGGAGAATTGTCATGAAGAACTCAGGTAGTGAAAAGTAGCTGAACTAAACAGCACAAAGTTGAAATGGCCAGACCATTGAAGGCTCCCGGGTTAACTACCATCTCTACTGTTTACAACAACTTGCATTTATATCGGGTCCCTCACACAGGATAGCGCCCCAGAGGTGCTTGTTTAGTAGGAGTTAGTTTCACAGGACAATGGCCCTAGCAGTCACTGTTAAAACAAAGAAAAACATAATACTGAAGGGAAAAATATATTTTTTTGAAAATGGTTCGACTTCAAAAAGCGATCCTGAGGGTGAGGTTTTGCTTAAACAAGGCAAAGGATTTATTTTGCAAGAAGTTGCAAGCTCATTTACAAATTAGATGTTTACAGAATCAAATAAAGCAAAGTAGCTAATGAATCAATGAATTTTTTGTATTGGTGCCGGCTCCCTTTGCTTTCTATTCTATAAGAAAAAGTGCCAAATCACTGCATTAGAAAAAAAGGATTACATGTTCGCCATTCAGAAAGTATTACAGAAAAATGTCAAAACATTTTGAATTTAAGAGCTGGCTAAACAATTGTTTGGAATGGAAAAGATAGACCGAGATAACAAATTACTCCTTTTATTTTCATTGTGCTTGAGGCATTGTGAATGTGCACAGAATTTCATCTCATTAGGCAGCAAGTCAAAAATAAGCATACATAAGAGAGCAATTGGATTAAAAGGCCAATAGCACTTCAATAATACATCTGCTGAATTTCTGTGTCTGTAAGTGCTGCTCATTTGATTTGCCAAACTTGTTTTTTCTTGCTTCAAGCATTCCTATGATAAAGTCTATCATACAAAGCAGGATGCAAATAGCTTTACCAGTGTAATCAGCAGTTGGCCCATTTTAACATTTCTCCAAAACTTTTTTGTCTCAGATATTTTCCTTTCGTAGAGATAAAAATCTTCAAAACAGTAAATGGTCTCACAACTGATAATTCCTCAAGTTTTTGTCTTGTTTCATAAATGGAGCAGAAATAAATTCAGCAGGAATGAAAATTTGATTTTGTGTTGAAGAATGGCTTTAATTGTAGCTTTTTACATTTTGCAGGCTTATAAATGTAATTCACACTTTTTCTAATGTGGCGACACAAGATGATGCAAGATCCCAAATAGATCAGAATTTACCAGATGGTGAGTTACAAACGCAATGAGTTTCAAAAGAGAGAGCATTGGTTTGAACAACAATAATAATCTTTGCATTTGATATAGCGCCTTATCACGTCTTCGAGATGCCTCATAGCGCTTCACAGAATACACTATAAAGTGTAGGGACTGTATTTTGTGGGCGAAACGCGGCAGCCATAACACAGAGTACAAAGGAGCTGTATGTGAATCTCTCTTACAAAAGGTAATTCCAATGGTAAACCAGCTAAAAAACAACAACTTTTGAAAAGTTTTAAAATTGAACGAAAGCCGCAGTCACTGACCTTCAAATCTTCCAGTAAAACTATCTGAAGCTCTGGTTCTTCGCTTTTTCTTGTTACGTTTGCCATTTTCTGCAATATTCACCGGATGACTGAACATAATTTCTGTGTGGACCCAGAAAGGGAAAAAGAACCTGTCAAGTGTTTCAATAATCAGCAAGCATACAGCCCATTAAGAACATTTACATTTATATAGCTCCTTTCATGTCAGGAAGAAGTGCTTCACTCTGTTGGCTGGGCACACAAACTGGGGAAAGGTCGGAACTGGAGTGTGAATTCTCTGTATTTATAACCAAGTATTTGCCACAATAATAACAACTTGCACTTATATAGTGCCCTCCATGCGAGGTGGTGTCTCAGAGTGCTTAACAATGGTGGAGCCTAAGGCCGAGCCAAGGGGAGGGGGAAGGTGACCATAGGCGTGGTCGAAAAGGAAGGTCTTCAGCCATGACCTGAAGATGGGGAAGGAGGGGGCGAGGCAAAGGGGTTGAGGGAAGGAGTTCCAAAGTTTCAGGGTGTAGTGGCTGAAGGCACGGCTGCCGATGGTGGAGCAGAGGATTCAGGGGTCGTGGAAGAAGCCGGACCCAGTAGAGTGGAGGCAGCAGGTACTGCTTTGGGGAGAGAGGAGGTTACAGAGATAGTGGGGTGCCAAGGAATGGAGGGATTTAAACACTACAGTGAGGATCTTGAAGTCGATCCGCTCTGTGACAGGGACCCAGTGGAGTTTGGCAAGGACTGGAGTAATTGATGTAGGTTTGGTGCGGGTGAGAATGCGGGCAGCGGAGTTTTGGATGAGCTGGATTTTGTGAACAGTGGAGGAGGAGAGACTGGCGAGGAGCGGGTTAAGAGTAGTCCAACCGAAAGCATGGACAAGGGTGTCGGCTGCTTTTGGAGTGTGGTATTGTCGGAGACATCAATGTGGCGGAGGTGGAAGAAAGCGATACTGGTCAGGGACCGGATGTGGGGGAGGAAGGATAACTGGGGATTGAACCTGACGCCTAAGTTGCGCACAGTTTCGGAGAGTTTCAAGGATATGTCGGAACTGTGGGATAGAAGATGTCGGCAGGAGCCAAAGAGTATGGCTTCTGTCTTATTGACGTTTTACTGCAGGAAAATAGCGAGGCTCATGAGATTAGAAAGATATCAAATGCAGGATAATGATAATAAAGTGCTGCCATGAACTAAGTAACAAAATGGCAGAGCAAGCTCGTTTGACCAAATATCCTTTTGTTTTGTATGGTGGATGATATTTGATAACAGTCAACCCTGCAGGACATCTGCAATGAAACATTGAGGTCTTGTGGTAACTGTGTCTTGAAAGTCTGATCATGTACATGGTTTTCATTTTGTCTTCAATTATTTCCTAATACTTATTAGTGATAAGTTGCACATTTATGTAGGTTATTACAAAAGTGGGACAGACACAATAGTATGAGAAGTAATCTTTTGCCACTGAAAAGTTTACATTGGATGCACTGGCAAAACCTATTCACTATTGCTTACAATACTTAATTAGGCAGTAATTAGATCTCTGAATCTGGTCACCTAGATATCTCGATCCCCTGAGTCGCTACACAAAGTGTAATTGTACCGCTCATTACCTAATACACAAACCAATGAGTCTGGCTCATACAAATCATACATCTGCTGAGAAATAAAATCCTAGCAACGTCTGCTGTGCTCTCCGGCTTTGATTACTTTTTATGTTGTCCATTTGTTCCCATCACCTCAGGGCCACACGTCGGAAAGTGCAATGTTGATTAGTAAATAACAAATCAGGCTCAACAGATACATTGATTCAATTAAAAAAAATAATTCCTCTAACAGTGCTTCAGGATGTAGAGAAAAGTCATGGTAGCTGAGAGAGAAAATTATTTAAATTTTCCTCCTTTTTGCTTATTGATTTGATTTTTTTTCCCTTCCTGGAATCATCCAACACCAAGCTCCTTCCCTTTATCACCCAGAGTTCACCAGTACCTATAGCCAGCTAACTGGTGTCCAAATGAACCCAGAACAACCTACTTTTCCAGTATCCCTTCCACTGTGGTGAAATTGGTCAACATACTGATCGTCACCTACGAGATCTGGGATCAACTCCAGCTGAGCCTGATTGGATGCAAATCTCCTTGGTTATCTGTGAGGGTCACGTGTGAAAGGAGTTTGGGCAAGCTCAATTTAGTTCCGAGGTTGAAGCTAAGCACACAACACCTCCTTTAATTGGGCAATTTCACTCCAAGGAACAAGTATGCGAGTCAAGGTAAGGAAATTAACTGGAAATACTAGAAAGACTCCACTGGAAATAGTTGAAAATAATAATATAATAATAAAATATATTATTATTATATATAATTGAAAAGACCACAAACACCAGCAGCGGTGTCAAGAAAATTTCCAAAATATGCCTTAAAACACAAAGAAAAATAATTGCAAATATACTTGTGTTTCTTCACTTCGGGTTCTATTTTGTAAATGACATGTGCTATATTTAAACAACATGCTTGGACAGCAAAGAAGGTGTAGAAATTGTTGCCTTGAGAAGGGGAAAAGATAAGCAATAGTCATATAATCCAATACCTGTTTTTGATTGGAAGATCTGAGTGGTTTGTTCAGGGAAGATGGCGGCTGGCTGGTTGGAGCAGTTTCTGCTGTTCAGATCACCTGCGTGGTTTGAAGCAGGTAGAGTGCTGTGTAACTACAAGTGGAACAATTAATCAGTTAAGTAATAAATGCCTTATAGAGCTCATGTAGAAGCATAAGTTGATGTTGTCACATTGCCAATGAGGTATGACGAATAGACAGTAAGGTTTAAAGTGATGATTTTTGGTAAGAATGGAGAGGGAAGAGTTTTGTGCATTAAATTCACCATATACCATTACCCACTAAAACATCAGGCAATGGCCTGATCAATTCTTATGTTTGAGACCATCCAAGTTTGATTTGACCATTTGGAGACCATGTGGAGTCCTGCAGCTCAGTGGTTAGAGCACTCGCTTCGCAAGCGAGAAACCTGGGTTTGATTCCCAGCAGGGAGACCATGAGCAAGTTTCCTTACTCCACACACCTGATAATAATCCCTCAAGAAAAAAAAACAATAATAAATTGGTCACTTCAATCCACGACTGTTTGTGGGACACTGCTGTGCGCAATTGGCTGCTGCGTTTCGCCCACAAATATACAATCGATTCACTTTACAGTATATTCTATGAAGCGCTTTGAGATGTTCAGAAGACGTGAAAAGCGCTATATTAAATGCAAGGATTATTATTATTATTTATTTGGAGAGATGCAATAACGGGCTATGATGTCTCACCTTGGGAAACTTCCTCATTGAGATTAATTCATCACATGGAAAATCCCAAATCTGGGTCCTATTGCTCCATAGGACAGTGCTGTTAGAGATGGGAGGCTAATATATGACAATATCTCCAGATTCATTAATAAGGAATCCAAATCGGGATTCCTTCTTGTAACTAGAAGTACATTCACAAAAAATAAACTCCATTGTAGGCTGCATCAGGACAGCATACCTGCGAGTTGGCATGATGTTCTTCCAGATTCCAATGTGCTTCATCATGCAGTAATTTATTAGGGCTAACACAATTAGAAACCTCATATGTTTTACAAAGCATTCAGCATATCTTTTTCACAAGGCTGTACCACCTCTGACTGGTGAATAAAAACATACATCAAAACATTTTTTCCCCATATGTAGTGACGGTCACAAGCGACCTATGCCGTAATAAAATAATATTAATCCTCGCATTTGATATAGCACCTTATCATGGCTTCGAGACATCTCAAAGCACTTTGCAGAATACACTGTAAAGTGAACTGACTGTATATTTTGTGGCCATCTTCAAAAGTGGTAAATATTTTATTCACAAAAACCTCCAAGAAGTGCTTGGTTTACAAAAGCTGTCTCTCGCTGATTTTAAATAACATTTGTATTTTTATAATGGGAGGAACAGCAGCTGCAACATGGTGATGAACTTATTCTGTGATGTCAGTGCAATAACATGAAATACAGAAGTGAGCGGGAGTAGGGGAGGGGTTGATTTCTTCTTGACACAAAGTGTTGCAACTTTGACCATTTTGTCAATATGGGAAATCCCATTTTAAGAAGACGCCATTAATCACTTAAATAATTTCTTGCTCAGGAATTTTATTTCAACAGCCCTAGAAATTGAGCAGTGATGTAAACAGAGAACGCCCTCACTGAGTAATTGTGGAAGAGCATTCATATGAGTAGGGAGTAAGGACAGCCCCACAACTCACACGTAGCAATACACCTTATTTATAATATTACAGAATAAAATTCCAATTACCCTCTGAATATTCTATTCATAGTATAAGTTATAAATATACTAACCAACTTTACTGGCTTTCAGCTGTTCAGAACCCAGGGATCTATCAGTGAGTAGGTAAAACCAATTTATGAGTACTCAATACCATATACCAACGCTCTAATTTAAATTCCATAAACCCCACCTTACATACGGAAGTTTATGAAATGCCTTCTGAAATCCAATTAACCAAAACCCTCATCAGCCCCTACGGTGACTCGATTCATACTGCCCTCAAACTAATATCTTTCGAAACCCGAAAGAAAAAAAAAGGAAATATAAAAAAAATCGATCCAACTGTCTGTGGTGTAACCACAAACCAAATATCTAAGATTAAAAAGGACAATGCTCAACGCTACTAGTCACCCAACCTCACAAACTTGTCAGTCTGGAGTTTACCTACAGCACAAATAATGCTGCAGAAACTCGAGCAGTTCGGACAGTCTGACCACCAAAAGTTACTCTTTCATTTCCTCTTGGCTTCGGTTCCAGCCATCGACATCCAGTTCGATGACTTTACTTTACGCTCCCTCCCTTCCCTCCCCTCACCCTGACCATTCCCTCCTCGCTCCCTCCCTTCCCTCCCCTCACCCTGACCATTCCCCCCCTCCTCGCTCCCTCCCTTCCCTCCCCTCACCCTGACCATTCCCCCCCTCCTCGCTCCCTCCCTTCCCTCCCCTCACCCTGACCATTCCCTCCTCGCTCCCTCCCTTCCCTCCCCTCACCCTGATCATTCCCTCCTCGCTCCCTCCCCCTCCCCTCACCCCCTCCCTTCCCTCCCCTCACCCTGACCATTCCCCCCCTCCTCGCTCCCTCCCTTCCCTCCCCTCACCCTGACCATTCCCCCCCTCCTCGCTCCCTCCCTTCCCTCCCCTCCCCCTGACCATTTCCCCCCCCGATGCTCGGGTCCCGACCCCAACTGCCCGGCGCCTTGGGACGTCCTCCCGACGCGAAAGGCGCTCTATAAATGAAATCTTGTTGTTGTTGTTACTGCACTGTGGTTTGTTGAACAAGCGACACCTCCACCGCATCCTTTTTTTTAATATAAATATATATATTAACAAAAAAAACTCAACGTTTCCTCACGACTAAACTGAGGAAACTTATCTCTGTAATTCTTGCGGCTCAGAACACACACACAACCGAAGTCACAGCTTCCCACAGGCATTGGGGTTTCAAACATCCAACACTGTGTCCTGTGTTTATATACACCGACCGGTGCTGAATTCCATCAAGTGTCAATACCACTTGAATAATAATAATAATAATAATAATATTCCTTGCATTTGATATAGCGGCTCATCGCGGTGGCGAAGACGTCTCAAAGCGCCTCGCACTGTGAAGTGGAGTGACTGTGCACTTTGGGGGTGAAAAGCGGCAGAGCCCGACTGCCCACAAAAGTTCTGGAAGCTTCCACGCGCAGCGCTCTTCCACTTCACTTCGGGCACTGAAACGCTTCGGAAGCCAAGAGGAGCAGCTCCTCCCGCTCCGCGACTCCACGCAGCTCCCGGCACAGACAGCGAGCGGCCGCAACAAACCCCCTCCCGCGAGCGGGAGGTCCTCTCACCGCCCGACACTCACCTGGAAACTCTGTCCGCACAGCCCACGCTCTGCCTCCGCCATCTTCCCGGTCCGCGAGCGATTCCCCCCTCCCGCCAATCCTGGCCCCGCCCCTTGAGGGCGCCGCCGCGCTGGGAGCGATGACGGTACTCGGGCTGACCCCGCCCCCCTCCCCCCTCGGCGCCATCTTGGTAAGGTCATGCGCAAACCCCGCCCCCCCCCCCTCTCTCTCTGCCTGGATGGCTGTACCAGAGCTGGAGTTTGTCAAGTCTCACAGCAGATGTCTTTAATAATAATAATAATAATAATAATCCTTGCATTTGATATAGCGCTTTTCACGTCGGGAGGACGTCCCAAAGCGCTTCACAGAATATACTGTAAAGTGAATTGACTGTATATTTGTGGGCGAACGCGGCAGCCAATTGCGCACAGCAATGTCCCACAAACAGTCGTGGATTGAAAATGACCACTTTATTATTGTTTTGGGGGTTTTTTTGGAGGGATTATTATTAGGCTCTGTGTGGAGTAAGGAAACTTGCCCGAGGTTTGGCCCTGACCTGCCGGGGATTGAACTCAGGTCTCGCGCTTGCAAAGCGAGTGCTCTAACCACTGAGCTACAGGACTCCACTCTTTCTTGGGGAAGGGAACTGTATGGACTCCCTGGACTGGACTCACTGAATGTCTGTGTATCTTATTTTTTAAAAGAAGGAAACAATATCCATTTTGCAATCTGTAATATCTCAAACCCATTAAGTGTCACTGCCATCATTCTCTCTGTTTTGATTGGTCCCTATTACTAAATAGCCGGGTACCAAGAAAGCTCTCAAATCCTAAGGATATGATCAGCAAGACCGTTAACCTCCAGCAATGAACTGAGGCTACCTCCGCAGCCAAGTCCTTCGTCATTGAGGGAGCAACGTTGGATGGTCGACGGCATTTCCTCAAAACAGTTTCAAGATCTCCTCGGAGTTGGAAAAAAATGTTGTCGATGTATTTTGTGTTAGTGTACAATTGTACATGTTTCGACAATCTTAAACTAAGTTTAATGAAAATTTCAGCGCTTTAGGACGTCCTCCCGACGTGAAAGGCGCTCTTTAAATGTAATTTTGTTGTTGTTGTTGTTGTAACCTGGGTGGGTGTGAGGGCATTCCTAGCCTGCTTTCTGCTCAATTCAGAAACTGAAAGTGAGAAATTATTCCATTAACAACAACAACATCTTGCACTTATATAGCACCCTCCGCGCAGGCCACCATCTCAGAGTGTTTAACAGTGGCAGAGCCTGACTCCGAGCCAGAGTGGGGAGAGGAGGTGGCCATAAGCACGGTCGAAGAGGAAGGTTTTCATGCAGGATTTGAAAAAGGGGAGGGGGGCAAAACGGCAGGATTGAGGGAGAGTGTTCCAGAGTTTCGGGGCGTAGTGGCTGAAAGTGCGACCTCAATGGAGGGGCGGAGGGTGCAAGGGACGAGCAGGAGGCCAGTCGAACGGAGGCGCTGGGTGATGGATTGGGGAGTGAGGAGGTCGGAGAGGTAGGGAGGCGCCGAAGAGTGAAGAGATTTGAACACAAGGGTGAGGATCTCAAAGTCGATCCATTCGGTGATGCCAGTGGAGCCTGGCCAGAACTGGTGAGATGTGGGTACGGAGTTTTGTCCGGCTAAGTATGCGGGCAGCAAAGTTTTCAATGAGCTTCTATTCTATTACCACCAGTTAGTGTGAAAAATCATTGCTTTCTCAACTGATGGTAATAACACTCATGACAGTCTTCTGAGAACTCACTGCTTATTCACACCAATCAATTGTGACTGACAACTGTGAGATTAGCACATGTGCTTTGGCACCACTCACTACAATCAGTAATACTTTTTAAGCTTTTTGTTTCATGCATTTGTTTGTCCCTCCCATTACCCCTTCATTATAAGTAATCAAACGTTTTGGTGTTATTAACAAGAATTTATTGATTTTAAAAAAGTACAAAATTAGAATATAAGAGCATTTGTTTTAATGTATAGAATATGCCTAGGACAGAATTGAGAAAGATTGATATCAAAAGTACGACGCCCCTCCAAGTAAGTTATGTCCGTCTATAACAAACAATATAGGTTTTCTGTATTGATAATTAAAGCATCTTCACTGTGTAGAGATTATTTTCAATTAACAGAAATCTTTTAATCATTGTATATAATCAGTCCTATATGTCTTATGTAGAAGTCTGGCTATAGACAATCACCCATACCATTCAAAATTTTGCAAGGAACAGCTCAAATCCTTAGAGTATTTTGGTACAAAGTATTATAAATTATTATTATAACAAGATGTTATATTAATGAGATTTAAAGTATTGGAATATGTTGGGTGTTTGATTCTGATACAATATTGCTACCTTTACACAATTTCATAGCTGTTTCAAAGAATGGCTTCAGGGTAATCTCTTGGCCAATTAGGGCCAGCACATTGAAGAAATATACTGAACAACAACTTGCATTTATATAGCACCCTACATGGGGTTTAGCATCTCGCAGCGCTTAACAGTGGTGGAGTCTGAAGCCGAGCAGAGGTGACCGTAAGGCGGAAGAATTGAGGGAGAGACCTTAACCTCATCCGACTGAAATGCTACCTTCAATTTTGTAAAAATTCACGTTCAGACATTTACCAGGTCACAACAGATAAAAGCTTCATTTCACATTCATACATGCATGCATGAGAGAGAAGGGAATAGCAGGGTATGGGAAGAGGCTCACGTGGCGTATAAACACTGGCACAGATTATTTGGGCAAAATTGTCCTTTTCAGTATTGCAGATTCAATCTATATAATTCATACAATACAAAATTACATTTATAAACCGCCTTTCCCAATGCGCTGAACAGTTAGGGGTTAGGAACAAAGTTTGGGGGGGGGGGGGGGGGTGGTGTGGTTGGGATCAATGAGGGTGGAGGACAGGGAGGGTGGAGGTAGGAGGGTGGCCGAAGGCACGTTTGAAGAGGAGGGTCTTGAGGCGTTCCTTGAAGGAGGCAAAGGATGGAGCGAGGTGAAAGGATGGAGTTCCAGAGGGTGGGGCAGAGAGGCCCGACTGCTGATGGTGGGCGGGGCGGGAGACATGGAGAAGGCCAGAGGCTGCTGAGCGGAGGGAGCAGACAGGTTGATAAGGGGTTAGCAGGTCGGAGAGCTAGGAGGGGGCAATGGCCGTGGAGGGCCTTGAAGGTCAGGACAAGAATTTTGAACTGAAACCTCTGAGGGATGGGGAGCCAGCGGAGCTGGGCAACGGTGGGTATTGTGGGATCACGGAGACTGGTGTTGGCGAGGACATGAGCTGCAGAGTTCCGGGTGATCTGCAGCTTGTGGAGTGCAGATTTGGGAAGGCCGACAAGCAGGGCATTGGCATAGTCGAGCCTGGCTGTAATGAAGGCATGGTATATTATGTGACTCACATGTCTACCGGTGTAAATCTTATAAATGTACTGTAGAAACTGGGTAAAACTGAACCTTTTATTCTTGTACAATAGTTTATTGGTTGTGTATAATAATGCTTGCATTTGGTATTGTATCCTTCATATTAGGAGGATGTCGCAAATGGCTTCATAGGGTTTTACAGTGAAGTGGAATGACTCTATATGTTTAGGCAAACTTTTCAATGTCAGCAAGTGATTTGTCAAACATGAGTGAACTGTTCCCTTTATCTGTTACTGTATGCCTAGTGCATGTAAATAATTTGTCCAAAGATAAATTAAGACCAGACCGTAATAGATGATTAATTAACAATGCATCATTATATTGATTGAGAGGATTTGATAGGAAAGGATTAATTCAGGCAGAATATTCTATCAGTTTTTTCTAACCTGTCTGATAAGTTCCTGACAATCTAGAGCTGGGTGGTATAGTTTTCTGTGGCTTAGAATAAGGAACAGACGTGGCAGTCTGGGAAGGGTGGTTAACAGATGCATTTAGGAAGATGTACCCACCAGCGAACTTTAATATTAAACATTCTGTTGATTAATATTTCAATACTGACATTTTCTCTGGGTTTGCAGGGAACCGGATGACATAACTCTTGTGACTGTACTTTTTTCACATCAGACAGCGAATGGCTCAGTTGTTGGGTTTTATTTCACATTGGAGAGGTACAGTTCGACTCTAGCACGTTGGTATCAGTAGCAGATCTTCTCTGTCATCAATTTCTGTTTTAAACAAAGAAATATAGAATTAAGCATTTTCTTGGTAGCCACAGAGAAGTGGAAAAATGTAGAATTGGATTATAATGTCTTAACTCAACATATCTGTTCACCATAAAGGTGTATGTAAACACTACTCATATTCCTAACAAGAAATCACAAATAAAAATTTCGACTGTTGACCAGATGATGCTGATCAATGGGAACTCTGCTCAGATGTCCCTGGAGTATAAAGGATTGCTTCAGACAACAAGCGGAAAATGTTGAAGAAGTTCAAGTGGTTAACAGTGATAGAAATGCAAGTTTATAATTAAATTTGGCACATTATATTTGGGTATCATATTATATTAATTATGTTACATTTAATTAATTTTCATCAGAAACTCTATACGGTGGGAATAAGTGAAAAGTGGCCCGGTCCAGCACAATTTTCCCCAATATAAGTGGTTGGGAAGTGATTTGGTACATTATACATGTATTTATATACCTTGAATATTTGTATGGGATAAGATATGTCAACTGTACCATATATTGTAGTTCAATTTACATAACCCACAATGTAAACATATGACCCACAATGGGGTCTTAAATGTGGGCTGGGCTAATAATACTCTCTAACCATGTTCAAATGTTTATAGGCGACATCAATTATCTAATTAACCAGCAACAAAAAGAATTGCAGGATTTATTCCTAGATTTTAATTTGCATTTGGCAACACTGTTCCTCTAAAATTTGACAAACAAAACAATTCCCAATTATTTAATCTAGTCAGAGGTGAGAGACTGAACTGAGCAGTGTGGGTGCACTTGTCCAATCAGGGAAAGAATGAATGATCTCTTCTGTTGCTTTAATATTGCACCAAATACAGATTATAATAGCTGAAAGACTCAGGAATCCGGAAGTCATCCAACTATCTGAACTATCAGCAATGAGTACATAATGTAAATTTTTGGAACATTAGACGTGTAAAGATGTTCCCTTGGTATGTCATTTCTTAAAACTTTCCATGCTAATGAACTACTGGAAGCATCAGAATCTATAGCAACGCTGATATTTACGAGAAAGTTCAACATCTACTTCTGTGCTCTGAAGTAGGCCTGTTCGAATAGCCACAAGCCAATTCTAATTTGATCCCAGTGGTCAGATAACAACCCACATTGAAAAAAAATCAATGAAAGACAATTTGTTAACTGTTTAAAAAGAAAACATAAGCACACTGCTGGGTCAATGATATTGGTACCAAATGTCATTTTAAGGATCCATTGCTGGTAAGAGTTTATTTTCTGGAAAAATAAAAATTGGTGCTTGAACATAGTTGTACAATTAAGAGGGGGAAAGGGAAGTTTTTTGAAATTACTGCAGCAATTATCATGGTTTGGACATTTCCAAATTGATGAAAGATCCCTCCTGTATTCCCAGAACTGCAAGACATAAGGCGGAGGCAGTAATTGTTCAAAGAAATGCAATTTTGAGAGTAAATAGGAGAATACTAGGGACCAGAGAGAGTCAGTGAAAACACGAGAAGAAACCAGGAATGTTGAAAGCAGAAGAGAGATAACAGCTGTAGTGAGAATGGGAGACATTGAGAGTACTTTTGTTTGCATAAACTGTTCAAATGAATGATATTATATTATTATTATAATTACATTATAAATTGAATAGATAATGCAACCAACCATGCAGTGTGCATCATCTTTCTATTCAGTTTTTTATAGGCACCTGGCACCACTAGCATCTCTGACATTATTTGCAGTATCAGTAATTGCTGTGTAATTATGTGCAATAATTCCCTCCGTCCACCCCAACAAGGATGCAGCAAACTCCAGACATTGAAAGGACTGCTTGAACTGTTCAGAAGACGGTATTCTAACCGCAGGGACTTTTCTGTCTGTATTGGAACAAATTCTTACCTCTCTATATAATCCAATTCATTTGGACATTAGAATGCTGGATTGAATCCTGACTCTATATTCCACTGAATTGCTGCCCACATATTATCAATAAAATAATCAGCAAAGCAAAAATAGATGGAACATGAATCAAGAGCAGAGGAGGAAAAAGGTTTGGGGGCAAGTTAGGAATTGGTAAACAAAGAATTCAGCAGAATAGTGTTGAAAGATAAGAGAGAGATGATTAAGGTTAGTTAAGGTACAAGATGTGTTTGTACTGTAGTTATTGCATGGATAAGGGATGGTCAGAATTGGGTTGCAGCATTATTTAAAAATAATGGAAGTTAGATGAAAGTTAGCAACAAAACTAACATCTGATCTTGATAAGTTGATTTGTTACTTCCATACTCACTGGTTTAAAAAAAATCTCATAACATCGTTTCCACCCCACTGACAAAGGTTAACCTACTGGAGATTACGACGAACAAGAGATCAATAGGCAGATCGACAAGCAGACAAAGGTACATACCAGTGGCTCCAACTCCCGTTCGTTAATCAGATCAAACTCAGTCACAAAATAGTAGAAGTGCTTGTAGCAGGTGTTCACATGAGCCTCGGCTCCCATGGTGGTAAGCCGGTCAAAATGATGAATATAAACGTGAACAAAGACTCGGAAAAGCCTGGTCAGAATCTTCTTACACAGCTGCTGAAAATTCTTAGGGAAGGGAACACCTAGGAAAAAGGAAAGAATGAAGTGGCAAAATAGAGGCATTTTCTTTTTATATAGAGTTAGTATCAACACTGCTTTATACCAACATCAACAACTTGCATTTATGTTGCAATAGTAAAATAATCTGGGCTTTGTACTGCTATTAGTCTCTGATGACGCTCTGTTGTGGAAAAAGTCCTTTTGTGATAGATAAGCTAACAATGAATTTTAGAAAACAAATTACAGGAAGAAATAAATAGGCCCTTTTAGCTCTTCTTGGGAAGAAGACTTTTAAGGATGTAGATTTATGCTAATTATCAGACTTACACCAGTGATTTCGACAGTTTCTAAACACAGCTGACAGCAACATTACTGAGAGGAAACTGTGGTGCTCGCATCCTCACAGGACCTGTGTGCCATAATCCTATTCACCTGCTATTTCTCTGGATTTGTTTTGTTCAATTCCCTTCTTTAATTCCGTCATGGACTCAGCTTCAACAGTGCAGGAGTTATTTCGTAAAATACAGAAAAACTGCCCAAACCTACACTCATTTATAAAGCAAACTGTTGCAAATTTGAAACAATTGCAAACATGCCTTGCAGTGTTAAACAACACCTCTTTCCAATTTCTTAACAAGGAGCCAATTACAGGGGACCCCGCCGGGGGCAGGATGAAGGATGGATAAACTAATTTGATGAAAATCATCTGAATGAAAATGATTTTGTTTATGGCTTTAGGTGAAATAAATTTAAACCTATTGTTAAATATATATTGTTGGCGCCTGTTGTCACTAACGTCAACATCACTATGTGGGAGTTAGCTGGTAAATCACAACTGGCAGGCGGCGGAGGGCGATCATTAACTGGCTATTGTAAGCAGGTGGCAGTTCTGCAGTTTCAACCATTCTGCTTCTGTGATCCGCAAATAATATGGAGACAATCTCCAGTCCATTCCTATTTGACAAATAAGCGAATGCTCACTCCTGCATGACTGTACGTTAATGCTGAGTTAACAATAGGTTTGTTTGTATAAATATCAGACTCCCTTTAAGATGGAGGATACAGAGTACAGTCTGCACATACTCATGTATTAAGCTTAACCAAAAAGAAAGTAATTGGCTGGACCGACCAAATTTGAAACAAAGCAGCACAGAGCTATCATTCAATGTGTAATGGAAAGGGATGGCTGTGATTTTGCTTTGGTAAATTTTATACTGCTGCAAATTGCAGTAGATTTCTCTGCTGACCCCAAATTCTTTCACAACAGGCCATGTTTCACTGAAGCCCATGTTAAAAGCCTGGGGTGATATACCATTGAACCAATAAGCTCAACGAGAGCCTTGAGAGTGGCTAAAGCGAGAAAGAGGTAGGAGGGAAAGGTTATTTCAAATATTTAATTTTTTTTACTAAAAATAATATTTTAAATGTATTTAATTACCTCCTAGGTTTCCAGTGATCCACAGTTGGGGGGTGGGGGGGGGGGGGGGTGGGGTGCATACATTAATTGTGGGAATCTACTACCCGCTGATATTTCCAGTTGAGCTAAGAATTTAAATTAATTGAACTGGTGGATGAGAGTGTGAGTGAGTAGTATCATTCAAGGGTCCAACTGCTTGTCTATCATGTCTTGAATGCTTATCTGTGGCTTTGTTACTGGTGAGTCACAGCTGTCAACTCTTTGCCATAGAATATAAGAGAGTTTGGATCTCCAGAAGAATGTGTCAATTGCTTTCAGGGATAAATCTATTAGGACCTTGTCATGCTAACAATGTAGAAATGATACAAGTTTGTATTAATATTTTTTCCATATTCCCTTCAGGTTCAAACACAGCACTTCTTCCTTCATGCATCCAGAATAAATGCATCAGGGCCACCCTACGAATACAAATTTTCCCACGATTTCAGCTGGTGATCAAAAGGAGGCGACAAAGCAGGATCCAGGTGTTTCCTTACAGGGAAGACGGAAAATAAAAAAATAACATGATGACTTTCCTCTCTTGTTTTGCGTTTGCCTAGTCTAGGAATTTGCATCCCCAGCCCTTCAACCTACACAAAAGTGGAGTCCTGCAGCTCAGTGGTTAGAGCACTCGCTTTGCAAGCGAGAGACCTGAGTTCAATTCCAGGCAGAGGGCGAAACCTTGGGCAAGTTTCCTTACTCCACACAGAGCCTAATAATAATCCCTCCAAAAAAAAAAAAAGTTGGTCATTTTCAATCTACGACTGTTTGTGGGACATTGCTGTGTGCAATTGGCTGCCGCGTTCGCCCACAAATATACAGTCAATTCATTTTACAGTGTGTTCTGTGAAGCGCTTTGGGACGTCCTCCCGACGTGAAAAGCGCTATATCAAATGCGAGGATTATTATTATTAAAAGAGGCACAATGGTGTTCATTGGCAAATCTTTCTTCTGTATTTGTTCAAAAATCACATGACAATAATAATCTGTGTTGAAAATACCATAGCATCACTTGCAACTGGCTGCCGAGTTTTGCCCACAAAATACACAGCCAATCCACTTTACGTTATATCCCGTGAAGTGCTTTGAGACGTCTCAACAACGTGATAAGGTGCTATGGCAAATGCAAGGATTATTATTATTTGCGTGATATCACAACTTTGCCCAATATCATCAAACGACAATTACTTAGCTGGTATCCCTTCACGTCAATTAGACAGTGTCTCTCTGAACATCAACAAAGTGGAACAATGCATCTTCACCCATGTTCAGGAGCTTTCAGACATATTGGTACAAAACATTTTTTTGTAGCAATATGTCTGATTGCACATTTTGCTCAGAAACCAAGTCATTGACACAGTGTCATCTACAGGCAAGGCACGGCACAACAGCAGCAGTGAGCGTCCGGGTCTCTTCCGCATTGGGAGAAATGTTCAACTTGCAGACTTTTAAGGTCTTAACGATTAAATCAAACACTTTACATCAGAAGTAAATTAAATTTCATAACCGGCCTACCAATGTGACGATCAGCAGTGTTATTGGGTTGGCTTCTGTGCACTGATCCAGGCAGGCAGCAGGCAGATAAGATATTATGAGTAAATGTTGAAATCGCAGATATACTGACATAATGTGCAGACTGTTATTACTTTTCTATGTGCCCTGGATTTAAACCCAAATCTCCCAAGGTTAAAGAACTGAATACCCATGAATAAATAAACAAATAGTGTTCCAAGATACAACTCTACATTAAGGGTTCAGCACTCAAGACACAGAGACTTCCCTGCGTTATATAAATGCAAGTTGTTATATCTAGGAAATAGGGTAGGTTAAAGTAATTAAGAGCACATCTCCTTTCTTACAACAATCAATTCACATTGCTTGGAATAATGCATCGCACTATGGCAACCGATATTTTGCAAGAATAACTGCTTCACAAGACTGAGCAAAATATCAGAGCAAAGGAGAATTGCAAGGGGCTATGACATTTCTAACATTCGTAACCTTCACTTGGTCTGATTTGCTTAAGGTTAACCTACAGAGCAATGAAAGAGATCTCTGTACTATTTGGGTTCAAACCACAGCATGGTCATTTACAGAAAATGGTCCCATTGTCAGTGTTAGATACAGGAGAGTTAAATCAAATTGTTGAAGCAATGCTATGCACTCATGATCGCAAACAACAGAACATCATTATGGTATTCAGAACAAAGTGAAAACAGTATGGTCAGCAATGGAAGAGAAACAAGAAACTGAATACTCTGAGAAATGTTGGTAGAGGAAACCAGCCTGTAGGTGGTGGGAAGGAAGAAGCTAAAATATTATTCAATTCAAGCACAATTCAAAATAGCTGCGTGGGGGAATAGTGTAGTAATGCTTCAACCTACATCTTTTCTTTTAATTTTCAGTTTAATTATTATTAGTTATCCACCAACAGCAAACTCCGGCAGTCTTTTTTGATCTCATCGTGAGATGAACATTTTACATCAGGAAACTTACCGACTCTGGTTGGGAAGTTCTCCTCATTATTGATCAAGGTCTCGATCCAATCCATCAGTAAATTCATATACTGCGGTGCGGTCACTTTAGTTGGCTTCTTATACTTGTGCTCATCCTGCCATCGGTACTCATATTTGAGGCCACCTGTCATTACTGGGCAGCTCCTTTCAGTGCAGTACTCGCAAATGGTACCATAGATGAGGTTAATGCGGTTGAAGAAGTCCACTGTGTTGACTGCAATCCAATCGTTGAGGTTCTCTCCCACAGGAAGCTGAACTACAGTCTTGAGATCAACACCAGATTTAAGTGAGGCCTGGGCTTTCTTGTACAGCTCAAAGCGCTGGGTCCCAGGCTCAAATTTCTTCCTGGGACGAAAAGTCCTGTCTTTATTAAAGACTTGCTTCAGGCAAAGGGCCATCTCCCCAGTTAGAAAGAAGAGGTTTTTATTTCCTTAAAATGGAATTCAATGTAGAGAAGATTTTTCTTGCCTAAGAAGTATTGATTGTATTCCAGGCCTTCAAATAGCTCAGTTAGTTCTGCCTTTAATGTGCCGGGTTTTCTGTAACAGAGAGGAAGTTTATTCCAAAACTCCAGGAATTATGTAAAATGCTAAATTAAGTGGTATTCATCAACCAATAATAACCCTCCATTTAGAATGGGATTGACAGCAAAAGACTAATATTAGATTTCCTATTACATCAACCCTAAAGTGGAAATAAATTTTAAAAAATCTAATTCTGAGTATGCTTTGGAGGTTAATAATGAAAATGAGCTGGCCTGACAAGTTTTTTTATTATGTATGTGTAAACTGAAGGACAAGGAATTTATGATATTATTGTTTGACGTGACTCAAGCGATTTAGTTCAAAATGAATCACATTACTCAAAAAGAAGCTATTTCTAGCACAGAATTTTATTTTGTATTAAACAGCATTGCTAACTTTTAATGTAAACCCGTGCTCAGATACGTGCTTTCTGGCTTTTGCTGGACTCTCCCCTTCAAACAGATTGATTTACTTGCGCAGCTGTTGCACTATAACCAGACACAGCTATAACACATTGATTTTCAACCATAAGCTTTCATACATATTCAGCAGAGATTTGTGTGCATAGAATTCCTTTACTCTTTGGGAAATATTTTGTACATACTTCCTTGTTTACTTTTAATCAAAGATTTCCTGAATTATGTTAAGAACTATAATGTGACCCACTTAACTTCTCTGCCCTTTAGGTCATCATCTGCTTGCTAGACTAGACTTGACCCTTGTGCAAGTTACAGCAGCAACAGCAGCAAAATTACATTTGTATAGCTCCTTTCATGTCAGGAGGACATCCCAAGATGCTGGACAGTCAGTGTTTCGGACCCGAGCTGGGGGTCAGGATGGGGGAGGAAGGAGGCTAATCGAAGGCATAGTCAAAGAGGAGAGTCTTGAGCTGGGTCTTGAAGGAGGTTAACACATAATGTGCTGCAAAGATGTAGAGGGTTGTTGCATAGGGAGCTAAGCTGCTCAAGATTCAACAACAAGATTATATTTGTATAGTGCCTTTCACATTGGGAGGACGTGAAAATTCCACATATTTGCTCTTTGCTGCAACATCTGTCTACAATTATTGCCAAATATTCAAAAATTCAATACTAGACTTGAGCAGATGGATACATATTCTGTAGTTTTACTTGATTAGTTTAAGAGATGAAAGAGCATTTGTGCAGACATTGATGGGTGGAATTCATGAATGTTCTCCTACAAATACAATCACTACACTTTACAGAAAAATCCCGTGAAGCACTTCAAGATGAATCGTTGTTGTGTAAAGTGCTGGACCAAATGCAAGGATTAATATTATTATTATTATGAAAGTGTGCATTGCACATCAAAGGCTTGATAGGTTGAATGACATTTGGGTGGGAACTCAAGTCTTGTGTTATTCGTAGCTTTTATTACCTTTCCCTGTGGAAAAGAATCAAACGACATGTAGCCCACCTCACACAGAAGTCTCAGAACGTAAACATTTTTTTGAAAAGATTCATTGATAAGCAATAACAAATACTACATGGCAGCAAGATTCAAGCTGTAATTCAGTCTCAAAGTTCTGTTGTTGTTCATTAGCCACTCCAAGTTCACTCTCATGGTTTATGAATTATGATCACGGTTGCTGACAGAGGGATTCAGAACTATTCAGAAAACTATAAACAAACTGCCAACTGGAATGTAAAGCTCTGATAAGTCAGAGTTTCTGCACAGGAACAGTACAGGCAGCTTATTTTAATCAACGTAAATAGGATAGTGAAGATATCTCTGTGGATTCTCTATTTTTCTCTGAATTGACTTCAAAATATTTGGCAATGATTGCAGACAGATGTTGCAGCAAAGAGAAAATATGTGGAATCTGAAATCAATTCTGAACGTGCAGTAGCAAAGGCGTTATTAAGTCGTTCCGAATAGACTAAATGCAAAAGATAGCAGTTGTCCCAGCAGTGTTTCCAGATATGTTATTTGTAGTCAGTTGCTAGCTAGCCCCCAGATTAAAGAGCTAGGGCTCTTTAATCTGGAAATGAGAAAACTCAGTGGGAACCTAATAGAGGTACAGTATATAACATTGGAAATGAGATTGTGAAAGTACTTTAGGTGCACTGAGGACACAGGTTTAGAATCGCAAAAAAGAATTTCAGGACAGTCACAGGGATTTTTTTTTCAGAAGCTAATTAACAACTGGAACAAGTTACCAGCAAGGGTGACTCAGGTCAGAACGCAAGACTCATTTGAAAAACGGCTTCATGCTGTGGTGGAAAGACGGTAGATGGTGTATTCTGGAAGGATAAAATCAAATAAGATGAAGGGCCTTCTTCATCAAACATATCTTGCAATCTTAACAAGACAGAGGTGCACACCCTCAGATAATTGGGAATTTGTTGTAATCCCTGCTGCCCTCCTGTTGTCGCAATTATTTAGTGTCTGTCATCTAAACATAATTAGCACCTTCATTAAGCATGTAAAGTAATATTCTCATATTTATCTGGAATATACATGAGGGAGACAGGACTCTGAGATGCATTGTTGCGTATGAGAAATGCAATTAATTTAGAATCGTTGTGTTCCATGGAGACTATAATTGCACCACTCATATCTTAAAGCAGAATAGGGTATTTGCTCAATTGACCGAAGCTAGATGGAGAGGGGCTTTTAGACCAATCAGATATTTAGTTAAAACATTAGCAGTTGTTGAAAGTTGGTACCAGTGATAAGTTAAAGGACCCTCGGGGCTTAAGGGGGAAGAGAAGGGTTGCTGCTGCCAACAATGTGTCTTAAACACAAACTAAGTCATTCCTTTGGCCAAGCATTTAGTTGGAACAACTCAGAAGGGACCTGACTGTGAGCCATCTGACTTCCATCAGATCAGTCCAGGCTATATTTTAACCTCCCACCTATTTCTCCCTCTTTAAAGAGGTTCTGACGGTCAAACCTCTCCTTATTGAATGGACAGTGAGCTTTCCCATCCCCCCCCCCCCCCCCCCCCACCCCCACAGTCAATGACTGGTCAGTTTAAACAGTTTATTTTACCCCATTTCCTGGAACTTGACTTGCCTTGAGTGAAAATCTACTGTAAGTACTGGTGCAATAGGAAGTAAGAGTCAATTGTGCTCATAGGGACAGCGCAGAAGCGTTGATAACTGTATTGGTGCAACTGTCAAGAAAAGCAAAAGCAGCTTTTATTCTGGGCAACAGTTCAGTTACCATGGAAACAAATAGCTGTTTGAAAACCACTGTGGCTTTGCACCATTTTGGCAGAATGAAGCAGAGTGAAAACAAAATCAGGAAGAACTTTCCTCGGCTGTTTAACATCACAATGAGGCCAGCGGGATTTGCATTGGCATTCTTATATAAATCCTTAATTGAAAAAAGAACAAAAATTCCAAACCACTGACTCCCTCCTCTGAATCGATTTTGAGCAGAGGAAACGTGTCAAGAGGCGAGCGATTTATGCAAAGTAAGATGGTCCCATAAGTGTCACAGGTGGAAGGAAGTGAGTAATGGTGGTTGTGACTTGAATATTTTATTCTGTGTAAAGCAGATACTTGGAGGTTAGCGTTTTACTAGTCATTTATTTCTCAATTTCACCTCCTGTACCTCTCTGTGCTGCACACTGCTCCCTGGAACTGTTTAAATGTTGTCTCCCCATCACACAAGACATTAGCCAAGTTTGGTTTGCATATAGTTTTGCAAAATTCGCTCACAAAATATACAGTTAATTCAGTTTACAGTATATTCTGTGAAGCGTTTTGAGACGTATGAAAACGTGATAAGGCGCTATATCAAATGGAAGGATTATTATTATTATGCAGAAAATCTTCAAGGATAGCTGCTATTGGAAATGAAAGGGTCACTCTGGTACAATAGTTTGGGGTTACGGCATAAAGTAAAACATGCCTGCTTTTCATCTGGCTTTTCTTATGCCTGACAGAGAGGGGAAAAAAGTTTATTATCCTCACGAGTTTTCCTAAAGTTGCCTAATCTGTTCCTTCTGTTCCTGACAAGTTAAATTTAAACAAAAGAAAATGAATAAAATAGATCTGCATAGGCATGAATAGAACCTTGTTGTATTTAGCACACTAATAAAAGTGTGAGTGTGTGGGGAGGGGGGAGAATATCTCTGTGAGGGAGATATAAGACCCCAAGTCATGTATACATATCATAAACATGAACTTCAAGCACTAAGCAGCAGGAAAGTTCATGGACTGCACTGTGTTGATCAGTGCTATATATTTTCTGCCATGTTGTGTCTATGAGCTGCCCTTGGGCAGAAACTCTCTGGAGCTTTAACAATAATGTCTTGGAAAACACTTTGCTCAACTAAGTATCAAAAAAAACTAAAAAACAAAACTTGAAATCCCATTACGACTGGCTGAAGTTACTGCTTCAACGTTTAGCTCCAAAATGAAGCAATATCCGACATTCATTGACTGAAATGTAACTGGTTGATTGGTAGAGAATAATAATAATCCTTGCATTTGATATAGTGCTTTTCACGTCTTCTAGAATATACTGTAAAGTGAATTGACTGTATATTTGTGGGCGAACGCGGCAGCCAATTGCGCACAGCAATGTCCCACAAACAGTCGTGGATTGAAAATGACCAATTTATTATTGTTTTGTCCTTTGGAGGGATTATTATTAGGCTCTGTGGAGTAAGGAAACTTGCCCAAGGTTTCGCCCTCTGCCTGGAATTGAACTCAGGTCTCTCACTTGCAAAGCGAGTGTTCTAACCACTGAGCTACAGGACTCCAAATACAAATAAAATATAAGAAATATGAAAAAAGAAGAAATACAAGAGCATTTTTTTTAAAAAGAAGATCAACGAAGCCAAGAAGACTCGCCATTCAAGAATGTTTGGAAAGAGAATCTCAAACAATGTAAAACTTTAGCACTTACCCCACACACCGTATATAAGTGCTTTGTCTTCTGAAGGCACACACACAATCTTTGCAGTTGCCACAGGAATCTACAGCTGAAGGGAAGGGAAGTCACATTGTTAGTGTCTCAATCTGACAGTTAGTTTGGTGTTTTCCACTCTTACAGACACAATCGCCAACACTTTTCTCAGGGCTGGGAAGAAGGACCATGAGGGGTTGGAGGCTTTACAGAAAGTGCTAAGGCTTCTCTCATGCTTTCCTGTATTTGATGTCACATCCTGAGACAGCCCCTGATCACAGCTGCTCCTTTTTTTTGGTTTATTTTATTAAAGAGACAGCCCCTGATCACAGCTGCTCCTTTTTTTTCGTTTATTTTATTAAAGAGACAGCCCCCTGCGTTTGTGCAACTACATTGAAAAGGACTTCACTATCGTAGGAAGTGCTGGGAACTGTGTGCTCTCTCTGCTCATGTACATTAATTGCTTGACCAATGCATTTCCAACACACTGGGCAATATTCGTGTTGGCAAACTTCATTCATTTCAGCTGCTAAAACAGTACAGTGGACTTGATGCGGAGATAATACCCTCAGTGGTCACTTATGATAGGACTTTAAGCAGATCAATCCCAGGAACATCAGTGATAAGAAGTGTGCACACCCAAGGAATACTATGAGCCACTATCAGCTCTCCCCCAGTGCGTCCCCTTAACCTTTATAAACTGATATCAGCATTCATTCGCCCACGAATATACAGTCAATTCACTTTACAGTGTGTTCTGTGAAGCGCTTTGGGATGTCCTCCCGACGTGAAAAGTGCTATATCAAATGCAAGGATTTTTATTATTATATTATTCATGTAAGATTCATCTGTAATGTTTTGAATTACAGAAGATTTAGTTTTAAAACATTTTTGGTGGACTCTTCACACTCTTTCAAGAAATGATCTTCCTCTGAGATTAAGATACTTTGCTGGTACTGTACAGTAGAAAGATCTCAACCCTGCAAATGTAACTCAAAATTCAACATTTTTTTAAAAAAGGAACAATATCTTCGTGAAAGTGTTGGACCAACCTTACATTAGGGACAGAGCAAAGATGCATAACTTCACGGGCAAGTACTATGGTAATGCTTTTCAGCTTGCTTTGAGTTATAAACAAAGTACTCTTTCATAATGGCAATGTCCTTTAAATCATGCTCGTAACATTAAACCACTGAGCTGTTCTCAATAATGAGCTGTTGAAAACAGCAGAGGCTATAAATAAACCCTTCAGAAGCTGTTTATCACACATTGAGAACCTTTCAATAAAGAGGCAAGTTGGAGGCTGCATCCTTTTCTACCACACTTCTCATCTCCCTAACTTTTAGCAGCAAACTTTCAATCAGAAAACCTTGCAGACTACAGCAACGGGAAAGAAGCTGCAGTATGTTGAAATTCCTAGATTCATTATCTTAAATCTGGCAAACTCTTAAATGCTTCTGGAATATTTAAGGACTGTCTGTCCATAATATATCTATTCCGACAAATAGGATGTTTCTCTAGATTTGTTGCAATTCTTTTTCACCACATTTGTTATAACTCCATCCTTACAGGAGTATCTGCTTATGGCACCAGTGCACACATTGAGTGTTGGAGGTAGTAAGTAAGTACTTTTGGTTCCAAGTAGAATAAAGCAGTTTAAACAAATTCTCTCCAAAGTCATTTAAGTCACTCGGAATGCTCTAAATAAATCTAGATCTGTCCATCTCTCTTACTGTAACCCAACCCACTTAACTATCTGTCTATATATTCTGGCAGGATGTTCGAAGGAGTTTATTTCACCAATTCTAAAATTACTTTTTGTACTTCCTTCCTGAGCTCACTGTGCACTGTAAGTCATTGTGCTTGAAAATATGGAGTGAGCGTCACCATTTCACAGCTTCTCTGTGACTGAATGGGATTCCCCAGCAAACTGGCAGTTTTTTTTAATGATCCAAACAAGAACTTGCTTCCAGCTTTCTAAAACAAAATCTAATCTAAATTGTAGATTCATTATGTTTCACCAAGCAATGAACTGTTAAAATCAGGATGTCATGTTGTTACTTTTGATGTGCAGGCTCACCATGTTGATATCACATAATGGGTGCCTTAGGATGGTGCAGTGGTGCATAATGTCAGGGAAAGGGACTTGCTTATAGGAAGACAGATGAGAACAAAGGTAGGCAAAAAATTAATACAAAATTAATGTTTTATGTCAAATTATGTCAAGACCCGAACTCTCCTTTAAAGTGAATCGCCAATTAACAGTAGTATGAAAGTGATCAATCGCAAAGTTGGCTTATTAACAAAGGGAATTATCTACAAACTCAAGACACGGACTCAGCAATGACCACTGATTAGAAGCTTTGCAAGATGGAAACCCATTGAACATATAAACCTCTAATTACAGCAGAGAGATTTTGTTAAATCTGCAGGAAGATTAAACATATATCAAAACCTAAAAGGAGATACATTAAGGAGACAGAAATGAACAACGAAAAGATAATAGAAATATTGTTCTCTTGGTACCAATGGCAACAAAAGTTCAGTCTTGTGTGCAGACAAAAAAAATGTCTGAATGTATTCAACTGAACAGCTGTTAATATTCATTAGTTTGCTTAAATTGTTTATTTCCTACTTAATTATGTCTTTGTGGCATTTGGAAGGAAACTGCTTGCTGGTTTAGTACCTTCCTAGTCTTGGAGAACAATAAAAAAAAGTAGTGTCTGGACAGTCATAACTCAGACTCGTTTGGTGCAATTTTAAAAAGTTCAATGAAAATATAGTATTTAATTTACTATACATTTAAACATGATGAAGCTGCAGGGTTTGAGGGGGAAGACAATTATAGTACTGCTTGCTCATGGTGAGGGTGGGGAATGAATTTGTTTTCATGTCTAAACAGAGCAGCGTTACAGAAACCTGGAGGAACTTGTCTACCTATTCAACAGGGGAATGGTAGGCAGAATGGTAGATAAACTAAAGGAAGATTCAATCATAGCATCATAGAACGCTGCAGCTTAGAAACACGACATTCAGCCCATCAAGTCACATTGTTTTTTCTACACATGAATCACCTTATCCAATCCTATTCTCCTGTTAATTTCCCATTCCCTTTAATATTCTTTTGATGCATCTATCAGATTCACTTTTTAAAATAATTTATAGAAACCTGCATCAATAGGTATGTGGTTGAAAATTCCACATTCCCATCACCCGCTGTATAAATAATTTTTATTATTAACATCAGCTTTATTTTGTTACTTAAATTTTGCTCATTACTCACTTGCTAATGAAAATAATTACTATTACAATTTACCCTTTGACTTTTAACCAATCACTCCTTAAGCTTTCAGTTCTCGTGAAAAAGTCATAACTTCTCAAGTCTCTCTTCAGAACTGAAATTTGTTCAATGTTACCTCCTTTCTTTCATATTCATTTGCAAGGAAAAATGGAAAGGAGTACTGCTGCAGTGTCCTATAATTGTAAGTTTCTGTACTTACAAATGAGTTAAAGACTACTAATGGCTAGGTTCAAGAACTGTTACTGAACTCCACCTCAGTCCCTTTGCTTCTCCCCCTCCCATGCTTCCTTCAAGGCCCGTCTCAAGACCCCCCTCCTCGACTGAACCTTCGATCAAGCTTCTGCTCCCATCCTCTCTGTCCTTCACCCCTTCTGATCCCAGCCCCCAGCTCAGGTGCAAATCCTTGATTGCATAGCACCTTGGAACGTCCTCCTAACGTGAAAGACGAGATACAAATGTAATTTGTTTTTGTTAGTGTACAGATTATGTTTCACCTGTGATTCCTGGTGATCGACGGTCAGGCCCTCAGCCTCTCTCCTCTCTGCCCCCCATCCTCTGGAATCCATCGCCCTCTCCTCCTTCACAGCCCATCTCAAAACCTTCCTCTTTGATCATTCTCCCACTCCAATCCCCTGCCCTCCACCCTCTCTGATCCCAACCCCCAACTCAGGTGCAAACCCCTCATTGTGGAGTCCTGTAGCTCAGTGTTAGAGCACTCGCCTTGCAAGCGAGACACCTGGGTCCAAGCAGGGCGAATACTTAGGCAAGTTTCCTTACTCCACACTCCTAATAATATTCCCTCCAAAAACCGCAAAATAATAAATTGGTCATTTTCAATCCACGACTGTTTGTGGGACACTGCTGTGCGCAATTGGCTGCTGCATTTCGCCCACAAATATACGGTCAATTCACTTTACAGTCTATTCTGTGAAGCGCTTTGAGACATCGAGAAGACGTGAAAAGTACTATATCAAATGCAAGGATTATTATTGTTATCCCCACACAAATGAACCACACTGCACCGTACACTGTACATGTATAGGTGATGGTATTCAGATGAAAATTACCTGTACAATAATTGTATACTGTATCTGGCTATGCATGCAAAAAAACTATGGGTTCTCTAGCATTCAGCATAGAGGATTGGAGCATAGAAATCTATTCTTAAATTTGGAAAATTTGCTTAGGGACACCATTTTCAATTAAGTCATGCTTAGCAAAACTGGTTTACAAAAAAAAGCAGTGATGTAAATCATGTTGAATAGTATCACACCAATTGTGCACAATTGTTCCAATTCAGGTATTGTAATCTATTTTTTCCCAATTAGTTTGCACAAACCTTTTCTCAATTTTTTTAAAAATCTTGCTTTTAAACAAATGGGGGAAAGTTGAGGTGCACTCACTGCAGGACCATGAATGTGTGAAAGGGTTTCAAAAGGAACTTGAGATTTCTGTTGAATTTAATGATCTGCTTGGAATCTAGGCTACTGCCCATAAGGGAAGCCTTGAAATTCTATGTAAATGGAGGGATTATCTTGATTCCCTCTCAAATACAAAGAAACATCCAGAGGTTAAGAGTTCTTGAGAGTGTGATCAAATAATTGGAGATGAGTCACCCTGCAGTCCTGATTATTTTTTTTGGAGTCATCGCTGTACTCACTTGGTCTATTGTTACCAACAGTCCTTACTCTAAGCTGGCAAGGTTAATATTGCTGAGATTTTAAAATGCTATGGGATGATTTTTCTTCCTTTTTTACCTCAATATCCTCTATTATTAGGATATACCTAGAGAATGAAAATGTAGAAAACGGGTAGTAAATTGTTATGTAGTGATCAGTGCCATCAAAATTCAAGAGGTTGATAACCGGTTCCTCATGCTCTTTTGGTACTTTCTGCAACAGCATCCTTGTCGATCATGAGAGAGCACTCCATTATACACTCATGAGAGTGGCCTTTTGATCGAACCTAGAAAACACATTATTAAGTGTGACACTACACTATAACTCTGTTCTGCGATAACACTCTTTTGCAGCAAATATAGTAAAACAGCAACTCTTTCAGGCAGGAGTGGACCATTGGCCATCTTGCCTATTCATCTAAAAGATTATTTCAACATATCCCTCATTAACTAATAATCCTCAATCATTTTAATTTTCAGGAACTTGTCTACTTCCTTTTTGAAACTATCTACACAAAATGCCATTAATGAGTTTGACTTTCCTTGACACAACTATGATGTTCACTTGGTTAGGTATTTAATTAACAAGAGTCTTGATGTTTTAGGGCCTAACCTTAACATTTTATGTTGTTTGCTAACAATACATCTATGGGTCACTTTACAAGATTTCCCTGTGAAGTGACTGTGTATTTGTAGGCAAACTCAGCAGCCAATATGTGTCTAGCAGTGTCCCATAAACAGCCATGAGGTGAATGATTAATTTTATTTGGGGTATTTCAGACCAGAACATCAGCAGAAACTTCCTTCTCTTTTCGAGAATAGATTTTTAAAGTCCTCGTGAACAGGCAGCCGACACACTGATTTAACAATTCACCTGATGAACGACAATGCAGTGCTCCTCCAGCCTAGATTGAGCTCAAAGTCCTGCCATGGGCTTGAACCAACGGCCACCAACTCAGAGGCAAGTGTGCTACCAACTGAGCCAGGCAGACAGCTAAAATAAATTAACAATTAACGAAAGTAGTAAATTGGAAATAAATTCTTAATTTTTTCCCCTCTAATGTTTTCTAAGTACATATTTAAAAAATGATACAATAAATACAAGTTGTAACTCAAAATACCAAAGCTGGAGAGTATGGCTGCTAGTTTTTTTTTAAAAAAGTCAAACATTCCAGTGAATATCAGAGGATCATTCCAACAATAACATTTTTCAATTAAGATTGTTAAAATGTGGGATTCTCAAAGGCAACAAATGACATTAATAGTTAGCATCATGGGTACAAAGGCACATGGTTCACAATTTGCTTGTAATTTCCCAAATGTCGTTTGGTTTTGGATGAAATTATTGGACAGAAGCCAAGTAACTTTACCACAAGGCAGGGAAGGTTGGGGGTAAATAAAAAAATCTTCTTTCTCAAAGCTTTATGGTACTTGATACAGCTGCACTGGAGAGCATTTATACATTTGGCTTACCTTAGGTTTACTCGATAACTTGAAGTTTGATGGGGATTAACATTGATTTGCCAATCATGTCACTTTATTTTCATAAATAATGATCTGCTAATATGCTAAAATATTTAATTTTGCCATTGAAACTGAGCATAGACAACTGACACTCTAAGTTGTTTTTGTACTTCAAATACCCACCCTTTCTACAACAACTCCACTCAGCAAAATATTCTGACGAAGGGTTGTGGACTCGAAACGTTGACTCACTTTCCTTTTTCCATAGATGCTGCCTGACCTGCTGAGTATTCCCAGCAACTTCTGCTTTTGTTTCAGATTTCCAGCATCTACAGTATTTTGTATTTTGAAAATATTCTGGGTATTTGGAGATGGACAAATTATCAATGAAGGAGCATTGGGTACGGCAATGGGTTAATGGGAAACCTAACCTTGGATCACACAGAATTGCAAAGTGTTCGGAGTGAAGAAACTGTCCAGCATGGTATCAAATCACACCATAAGGTTCAAGCACCGTGTCCTTTTTGGCTGGCAGATACAGGTCCCAGAGTCCTCTGTGTTTTTCCATTAGATTACACAACTCTTAAGCCTCTGAGTTTTGTTTCAATATCATGCCTCCAAATCCAAGCCGTTCGATCTCTGCAATGACTGAAGTGTGTTTGAATTCATTAGGTTTGTGGTTGAAAGTCTTAACCAGATTGAAGATTTCCTGGCAATCTGTACCATAGAAGAGCTCTGCTTGATTTGCCAAACACTGTGCCTCATGCGTGCCCTATAAAAAAAAGTCACAAGCAAATTTCTATAAGTAACTTTATCTACATAGGTGGCTACAAATTAAAATGATAACCTAGAAACTATCTTTCGGCTTTCTTCCTTCCTTGTCAGGCTACTTCCCCTATAAGAGTGCCCAACTTATCAGTCAGCTCCACTTGTATCATCAATGCAAATGAACTTGCTCGTGTATGAAACCTAGGCAGCTACGCATAGACTGATTACCAATCACACGTCAGTTATTAGACACAGCAGTCTACTGCAGTTTTCATATTTGTATCTCCAAATTTCTGATAGATGATTCCTAAATTTCCCTCCAAAAAAACTTGCACTACTCACTAATTTGCCGTGAACATGGGTAAACAAATTCTCTGCCCTGTCGAGTATACTGAATTGCCACTCCACCTGACGGATTGGGATGGACTCAGTACTTTCAGGCAAGAAAGTAAAGAACGGGGCAAGTCACTAACAGCTACATTTAAGCAATGCCTCATAGCTAGTAATTGCCTACAATTCCAGACAGCCGACATCTGTTTAACCACCTACAAATTGCCATGTAATTGAGGCTCATGTTGCGTGGTTCTGCAACAAAGCTTACAGCACCCTCTGTGGGAGATCAATATTAAAATCAGGCAGTACAGCAAGACTGTAACTAAAACCTCAAGAGCAGTCATATTCAATTCAAAATTTCTTTAGTGCTTACACGTAGCACTGTAAGCTCACATTTTTTAATGTTGATTCTTTTTAAAATTCAACTCGGTTTTCCGTTTACAATTTTTTTTTATTATGAATAATTTGTTACAGCATCTGTCATGCTGATTTAACTTATTTTAAAAAAAAGATCTAAAATGGCTTATTATAATGTTAATCAACATTCCAGACCTTTTTCATTGGAATTTATTCCACAAATCCACTACTGTATAGGAAAAGAAAAAAAATCCTTACCAGAAATTGAGTGTCTATCTCTGCAGTAAGAAGAACAATGTCCTTTTCCTTTTGAAGCTCAGGGTAATGATATATTATCAGCTGGCTTGGTGCATTCTGACCCAGAGACTGCAAAATGAAAGAATTATTTTGGGAGAGAAAGATATAAGAAACTAATTAGACATGTTGAGAATACAGTTTTTTTTAAAACAAAAAAAAGGAGTTTTCAGCAACACAAATACGATAGGACGCCTTTAACTGCTTTCTGAATGTGGTTTCATTTTTACTGCATCACAAGAATTGTTTTTGCATGAAGTAATTCTATGGATATTTTAAGAAAGCATTTCCATTATCACACTGTCTTGTTAAAATAACACTCCACATAATAAATTTAAAGGACAAGTTAGTGTACAACTCTTCACTCAGGTTCCTGCACTGGAGTGTACACTTATGAGCTTCAGATCCTGATGTGCAGTTTGCAAATGGGTTCTGGACCGAGATTTTCTTACCTAAATATCCCAAATCCCAAGATTGCACGTTCCATTGTACTGATGCGTTAAAAGGGATTTAGTGTAAGTACATGAAATCCCATTTAACGCATCAAAACAATGGAATATGAAGCGTGATGACTTGATTTCAAAGTGCAATGTGCACCAATGGAACTGGCCACGCTTCTGCATGCACAAGCGGTCACACTGTGTGGAGTGACGCCAACAGGCAAGAGCTGATCAGCAGCTGGACATACATCGCGTTGGAATTTTACGGATTCCAATTACTGACTTATAACAATGTTCAACTGTATTACCTTCCATATCCTTTCCAATAGACACATACCTGAATATTTATTAGTGAAGAAAAGTGAAGCTGAGTTCCAGACCACTGACCCACAAAGAACTCGTAGCCTGCTTCCCTTGGCAAAGCATACAGGAACTGAAACAGAATAGTGAGATAAATAACCGTTGGCTTACACTTGTGGTTGCTCCCTTCTTAGAGGGCTGCTAACCCTAACACAATAAATGGAAGCAGCCAACCATGTTAACAATGGGTTTGCCCTCCACACACACGTTACTTACAGTAGGGCAGTTCTGTCCTCTGCTACGCATCAGATCAAACTTCGCCCCCTTGAGGAAGAAAATTATAATATTATTTAAAAAAAGTAATTTTAAAAGTTATAAATGCTAAAATCAAATTGATCAAATATGTCTTATAAAAGCCACTCACAGGAATTACTGCAGAGATAGTATTCTTCTGGGCAAAATATTGATTCCAAATCTGAAATAAGATTACATAATAGAGAAAATGAAGTACACTTCTAGGTCAAAAACGGATACTTTTCAACAGTTGAATCCATGAACACACAACTAACTTTTCAGTTCACACGAATAGTGTAATCGCGCATTTACATTATAAGTGTCTGCAGAGGCAAGCCCACCTCCATCGGCAACTCATAATGAAAAGCAACGAAATGTCAGTGCCAAGTGTCCATGGACCCCTTTCTAAATTGATAGATCACTGCCCCACCACAAGCTGCCTCCGCTTACAGAATGAAAAAAGGAAAGACACATTGACATTCCGCTACTACTGAAATAATGGAAGTGAAACTGGAGAAAAAGTCCTGGAGCAAAGTTGTCTGATATTCATGTATACATCTCAATCCTTGCAGTTTGTTCCACGGGTTCCATAATGTAAAAGCAGCACACTTTGTTCTTCACTTAGAAGAAATATTAGATATCTGATCAATTTAAAATAATACACAATAAAACTAGGCTAGATTATTTTCGTCAATCTGCTCACAAAATGCAAAATACAGCTCAGGGTTCTTATCCGGTTTTAAAAATACTTCATAATAAATACAATGAGGTTAAAGGGGTGAATAATTTTCAGATTGTGTAAACTTCACTTGAACAACAAAAGCAAAGCTTGCTAGTGAATGATGAATCACAAAAAATGATATTCTGATATAATGTTTGGAGACTTAATAACACAGTAGTAATATTCTTTATATTTGGTAGAGAGCCCTTCAAGCTGGGAAGACGTCCCAAAGTGTTTCACAGGATATAATGTAAAGTGTAGTGATTGTGTGTTCTGTCGGCGAACACGGCAGCCAATTGTGTACCCAGCAATATCCCACAAACCGCTAGATTTGCTTTTGAATGACTTCTATTACATTAAACATTCACCTGATTTATTTCACTTGGAGTTTTTTCTTTTATCATATCCAGGTTCAGTATTGAATGAAGAGTCTAAAGAAGAAATAAGAAAAATGATTCAACAAGTATTAGATACTTTTACACAGGATTAAATACAAGCTGGTTTCTCACATTTGTTCCAAAATGTACCCTTTCCTTCTTTGAAATGTCCACTGTTTTGTTTGAAGCAGTGAGCAGGTTGACCTGAATCAAGGTGTTTGCCAATTCTGCTCTTTAATCAACAGTTAGAAAGTTCACATAGGATGACTGTCCCACTTCTGGAAAGCATTTTGCTTCCTTTCAACATGGGCATAAGAAAGATATGAAAATAAAAACTTTGAATAACTAGATTGGGTTTAGACCTCCAGGACATTCAATCACCACAAAATACATCTATTCTTTGGACAATCCAAAGGCAATATTATTCTGAAATCACATCAACAGTGTCATTCTTCTTGCAGGACATTAAATTATCCACAAGGATATTTTTTAAAACTAATCATTACATAAAGAAGGTTTAGAGTGATTTAAAGATGAACATTTTATGTCAAGTTACAAACATAAGAATATCTTCTCTTTTCCATTAAAACGGGTCCAATGACTCACTCTCAACTACCTGGAATAGAAGAGATCCGGAAGATTAAAAATCCCACCTACCTTGTCCTTAGTGAAGTGTCCTTGTCCACTTCCATTTCCTTGTGCCATTTTGCCAAAACCTTTTGACTGGAAGAAACAAATACACAAATTAACAGTTTGCACATGCAATAGAATGATTATGCAGCCAAGACAGTTTTGATTTGCAGATTAAGTAAATTTATTGTAGCGAGTGTGATGAAAGCATTGACAGTTTACCATCAGGATGTGATCAGATAAGCACTTAAAACATTTATTCAATTGCGAGCAGATAAGTACTTAAAACATTCCAATGACTGCAACAATATTTTTATGCACCCAAAAGCTGCTTCAGCGTGTTGTCAGGATCAGGAAATGCTGACAATTACCTCATCATCCGCACTAGTTTAAAATGTTTAAGCATTCAGAGGAATGCATTTGAGAATTTAATTCAAGAATCTATTGATGGAAACTTTTTAAACAGTTCAGTCATAGTATCTTTCAAATACAGAAAATTCTGATTCTTGCCTCTTGCTCTATCTGCTTAATAAACTCAGCTTGTTTTGAATATCCTAATGGTTGCCTCTTCATTTCTTCTTTCTTTGCTACACGGGCCTCGTAATCATCTGGTCTTGTCCTAAGAAGTAAAAGTGCATATATCTGTAAAAATGCAAATATCTGTAAACGGAGAATCGTATTTCTTGAAATTCTTTCAAATGCTTAGTCAGTTGTGAATAAAGGAAAGCAACGGTGTCCAGCAGAACTGTTACACGAGATAAAATGTTCAACATCGGTTCACTTAAAAGTCTTGTTTCGCCCACAACACATACAGATTCACTTGACGGTATACCAGAATCATACAGCACAGGAGGCCATTCGTCTCATCGTGTCTTGGAAATTAAAATGAATCCCACTCCCACTCCTGCGGATTTGTCCTCCTCAAGTATCTGTCCAGTCCGTGTCGCGCTTTGAGACATCGCAAAGACGTGATAAGGCGTTATATCAAATTACGCATTCAAATTCCTGCGCGGTCCATATCTGAATCCTTCCAGGATACACAACCCACTGTCGTCTTGATCCAGTCAAGCGCCCCCTTTCCGTCTGAGGAACCGCGGTCCTCGCGCGGATCCAAAAATTGTCCTCGACAACCGCGGGCCCGTGGCCTGTGACACTGCTGTCTTTGGTGGACGAGAAAAGGGGCGACTGTGGGCGGTAGTCCGCGCCGCCTCAACACCTCCCATCCGAAACGCCTCAGAATTCTGCCGCTTAAAAGGCCGGGCCCCGGGTCCGGGAAACGTCGAGAGTAACGTCCCTCCCGTGTGGAAAGGCAAACATAAACCCATCTCAAGGGACGAACCGCGGTGTGTTTTACCCGTCACTTCTCACCTCCTCAGCTCCCGGAGCCTCGCCTGGTACTTGCTGTAATACGGGTTATTCTCCAGCTCCCGACTGTCACGGGCTCCGGTCACAGCGGCCGAGATGGAGAAGGTGCGGCGTTGACTGGAGACCAGGCCGAGCCCCAGCGGCAGGTGGCAGCGGCTCCTGACCGCCAGGACCCTGTTGCAAAGGCAGGACAGCTCCCGCACCGCCGCCATCTTATCATCCCCTGTCCACATCCCCGCCCCGTCCCCCTCCTCCCCCGGTCCGGTCCTGTCGGGTCCGGGGGAGGAAACAGACCCCGGGGACAAACGTTCCGGACCCAACCCTTATCTCTTCTTCCCCCCACCTCCCCATCTCCAAAGCTGAATATTTATAACCAGATAGCGATCGAGGAGGCGGTTTGACCTTTGAGCTTCTGAAGGCCGAGGAGAACCAGAGTTGAAGCCAATTTCAGGGCGGGCGGAGGGCGGAGGGACCGGAGCAATCTTTCCCATTTGACCTCATGAGGATGGCGGACCAATGGGAAACCGACCTTCTCAAGATGGCGGCTCGGAAGGCGCTTCTTCCGGTCCCGGTCGTGCGCCTGCGCAGCGGGTGGGCAAGCGGTGGTGTGGTGGGGTCAGTCTGGAGCCGAGGGCCTCCTCCGGCCCAGCGACCACACGGCCGCCATGGCGAGGGGGGGCAGCCGGGAGGAGGCATCCCCACACGTCCCGACCTTATTCGCGAGCTGTGCAAGGACTGTGGGCAAGAACATGTCGAGGCTGGAGCAGGAGGTGTGGGGTACGGTTGGGGGTTGAGGGGGGGCACTGCTCGCGGGGACGAGACGCCACTCGTGCCTTCCTTTTCCTCCCCAGCGGCGCCTTCTCGGGGCAGCGCCGTCCGCCCGGATCGCCCCGCGCCCCCCGGGGGCCCGGGCCCGGGGGCGTGAGGCGTCCCCACCACCCCCCACCCCGCCCCCCGCCGCGTACCCCCGGGGCCCGGGCCCGCCCCGTGAGGCGTCCCCACCACCCCCCACCCCGGAGGGGAACACACGGTCCTCTTCTCTTGTCGTCTCCGGGCGGCCGAGGACCACCGGAGCTCGGCTTTGGGAACGGTTGCGTTTGCCGTACACAGGCGCCCTGGGACGTCCTCCCCCGACGTGAAAGGCGCTCAATAAATGGAATCTTGTTGTTGTTGTTGTTGTTGTTATCGGGACGTCTTCGAGCGCTTCGTCAGATATACTGTAAAATGGATTGAATGGGGGAGAGGGGGGGCAGGGGAGAGGGGAGGGGCGGGGGAGAGGAGGGTGAAACGCAGCGACCAACGTCCCGCAAACTGCCACGGAGCGAGCAACCAATTTCGTTGGCGGGATTACATTACAACAACAACAGCAACAACAACTTGCACTGTACGCAGCCCCCTCCGCGCGGGGGGAGCGGAGCGTCTCTGAGACGTCTCTTGACGAGCGCGGTTTTGTGAGAGGCGGTGAGGTCTCACCGCACGCGTTGAAGGTCGTCACGATCCCTTACGTTTGAATACACCGCCTTTTTCACGTCAGGAGGACGTCTCGGAAGTATTTCGCACAGGGATGTGTGCGTTACGCTGCGGTCGCCGTGTATTTCAAAGGCAAGGAATCGAGGGCGAGGTTGACCCGGTTATTCTGCAATCCAGTACTGTATTTCTAATTTTTAAAAAAATGCTGTTTTGGAAGCAGATTTGCCCACGACTGTTCTCCAACAACTGCTGCCGTTCCTCACTATTTATGACTTGGAGAGGATCGAGGGGGCAGCGGTGAAGAAAGGTAAGTCACTGTGCTGAAAATCACGGAAAGGATGGCAAGTTAGTCTGTTGTGTGTGATGGGGATGGGGGGGGGGGGGGGTGGCGGAGATTTGGATTATTCAAGGAATTACATCACACGTCAGGGTCTTGGAAGCGTATAAACATTTCATAAATCAATATATTTTCATCAGTAGCTATAAAGCTGCAATTCGATATCTTGATTCTGTGTTTTAAAATACGATAGTTATAACGAGGAAAAAAAACACTTAACGTTAAATATATAACTTATTCAATTATGCCACTGTCTCCTTCCATTGTTTTCATAACACGCTCAGCCAGTATGTGTTGGGCATTTGGCATTTTAATCAACCCTGTAATTAATCACTGTTTCCAAATGATGCACACAAGTGTAAGCCAGGAGTCAGAAATAAGTATTCATATTATCGTTCTATAATTATGTGTATTTATGTGTTGACAGAGATAACTGCTGTTTGAAATAATTTGCATAATGGTAAAACTTTAGCAAAAAAAACTGTAAATAGAATTAAACATACAGTAAATTCACAAGTGGTAGATGTGTATCCTACATCCTGAAATTCACCTTTCTATGACTCCAAAGTTTTTTATTTATTTTTTTTATTTTAGGTGTTTCAACTCAGACCCTTTGGCTACAACTTTGGAAGAAAGTAATAGGGACAAACCCTAAAGTTAGAAAGGTGGGCTATATTCTCTATCTCTTGGTTCTATGATAATCTTTCAGGGTGTATTTCTGTATCCATAACTCTCTCTGTCCAGCACATTTCTGTATCCATAACTCTCTCTGTCCAGCACACCTTGGGACGTCCTCCTGACGTGAAAGCTTTACAAATGTAATTTTGTTGTTGTTGTTCTATTGACGCATTCAGAAAATAGCATTGCTTTCAGTGCAACCAGTAAGTGGTAAATTCCACCACCACCAACATCTTCTCCCCACGTGCAAAGAGTCCACTCTGTTTCATCCAGAGAAAGGGCAGAGGCTTTAGGAGCAAGTTGGTTACTCATTCTCATGGCTGGGTAACGGCATACGACTTTGAGGGACTGTTTGGTTCCTACCTGACACAGGATGCCTGGCAAGGTTTTAAGTCTGCTCTGTTTACTGATCATTCTTTCCTTTTCTCCAATTGCTACAGAAACCTTTCAACTGGAGGCAAAAATTCCTACAAACATTCTTCCACTGTATCTTGTGGGGAACATTGGATATCTCAGATGATAAACGTTTAAATAACTCTCGCTCTTCTGCCTTGGTTCTTGGTTGCCAACACGTAAATAAGCTAGTTATACGGAATAAGCTGCAAGGAGTGAAAGAAATCATCAATAATCCAAACATCTGTGGTCCTTTGACCAGCACGGTGCAAAAACTGGTGTTTCAACATCTGCGGTCCGTGGACCAAACATTACAACACTCTTTGCTGACTTTACTTCATAGACTTATTCATTATGGAGTTGTGAGGGAGGTAATTTTATCACACTGGAATGAGCCACATCCTGAATTGCTGACTCTGATATTGAGGATGAGTGCAGGGAATTTGTGTGAGAAGGAAGAGTGTCTGAGAGCGGGTTCTTGTGAAAAGTACAGATTAAAAGTGAACACTGAAGAAATGGATCCAACAATTCAGAGAAACATATTGGACTCACAGTATCAACAGGCATGCTACACATCATCTGACTGTACATTCATTGATACTGAAAGCCAGTGTGATACAGATAAATGCATGTCTCCGAGTACTAAGGAGTCTTCAGAGAATCTATCACCTCTAAATTCGCAAAGTGTAACTTCTGAAAATATATCTTTGGAGGGAAATGGTAGAGTTATGGGAAAGTCTGATTGTTATAAAGCACATAATTATGCTTTTGGTTGTCTGTTGCCATCTTCAAAAAGGCTTACTGATATGCATGATGAGGTGTCTGAAGAATCGAGGAATGCTTCTCAAACTGAAACAAATGAAAAGGCAGATGACCTCTATGATTATATTTTCATGATGGATGGCAGTGAATCTGACACTGAGAAGAACCTTTCGTGTACCGATGAAAACCAAACTAAGAACATTTCAAACTGTTTGAACAACAATGATTTATTTGGTAGTGAATCACTCCTCAACCACACTTTCGAGCTCCATTTGAGGAACGTATCAGTGTTGGAAATTACATCAATACCATTGTCCTACACTTCTTCATTGGTGTTATGCAAATTGCTCCGCTCATGGGTATCGCTTCAGAAACTAGTTTTGGAATATAATGGTTAGTATGTGAGATTAGTAGTGAGTATAGTTTTTCCACAATTAAAACTGTGATTAGGAATGTATTCATCTTTTTGGGGATGCCTCTATCTAGCAGTCTCAGACTTCACTGTGGCGATTGGGAGAAACTTTAAGAGCTCTTCAAATCCAAACAAAAAAGCAACTGTAATGACAAAGTTCAGACATAGTATATATTAAAAAAATGGTGGGGGGAACGAATAGAGGGTTTGTACTGAAGCTTCAATTACTTCCTTTTCTTTGAATGTTGTCAAATAAATATTTTTTTTATAGAACAATTGTCAACATGTTATAAATTGGTATTGAACATTTTTGTGGCCTGTCCACAAAACCACACAAGGAATCATGTTGCACAAGCAGCATCACAGGCCTATATAAAATGCAGATTTTCTTTGTAAAATGGAGACTGTACGTCATGCTATTATCTTCTCTCTTTTTAGGCTTGGGTCGTGCCATCTTTCTGGTTCTAAAAGAACTCTGTGCCCTCTCACGCTGCCGTGACAGTAGCCTCTCCACTCTTGTACTAGCGGATCATGTCCTTCACCTTCCCGTGGTGAAGCTGGTGAAATTCATACTTAGTACCTTCCCCGCACTGCACAAGCTCCACATAGACTTCCTACTGGAGGTAGAAAACGAGCCTCTGGAAGATGAGATGTTGATGACCAGGGCAGAGATGACAGGTCAGTCATTACAATTCTTTTAAAAAANTAATCAGTGGTCTAGTCTCAATGGCTAAAAGGGACAAATAGACCGGGATACAGAGAAATTGTTGTATTTTGGTTATGAAAGGTCACACAGTGACCACCTTCAAATGTCAACCAGAGATGTGACATTCCTTAAAGGTTTGGGGGGTGCAGGGGGATAGAAGACCGGCTGGACCCCATGCGCCTAATGATTGTTTACAAACCCCCCCCCCCCATACTTGGGGTTAATGCTGCCGTTTCTCAAATTTAAATTTAATCTACCATCCGTTCTTGATGAGTGTGGTTACATTTAAATTATTAAATAAACTATTCTGTAATCCAGCTCGTGCAGTCTTTCCCTAATGTTTCTTCAGGTCAGACAGAGGGACAAATGCTACAGTGAGTTTTATCGTGTTAGTTGCTTTCCCACAGGCTATATGGAAAATTGGAAGTTTTACTGCTAATGGCCAGGAACCTACAGCTGCTGTCTGGCGGAATATAAAATCCCATTAGCTATAATATTAACAGTTGACTTCAACTGACTTCATTAAGGCATGAAGTTCCAGTAAATGCAATTAACTATTTCCAGTCAATGGTTAGTCCTTGCTTACACAATTACTCCCAAGTCTTCAACCAAGGACAATTCACAACCTATGTTAAAGCTTATTAATATTTTAGAATTATTGAATTCTGTGTGTTTCAGTTTGCTGTTTGGAAGATTTTAGTCTTAATTGCACAAGCAAGACTCTGCAGGTGGACCACCTCTTGCCTGTCTTAAGAAAATTAAAGTCCCTTAAACACCTCTGCCTGCGCAGGGCATCGTTCAAATCTCCTGAGGACCTCAGTAAATTGCTGCTGACAATCACAGGTATGTAATAATGTACATTAGAGACTGATCCAGACAAGTCTGGTTAATGTAATTTATTTCCACAATTACAGAGCCTAGACATGAGGTGAAGGTCTGGTACCAGAAAGGGTTTGTTACAGATGACCCAGAATAGCTGTAAAAGTTAAACTTAACACATTCAATGGCACCAGTACCACTGAATAGATAAATGTACCACAAATTGCTGTCCTTATCTGGGTCATTCCAGCACACTGCTTCATTCTACCCTTCAACAGATGGAGTCATGTGGGGCCTTGGGGGAGAAGTTCTGTAAATGCAGCGTTTATAAAACTAATGGATGAGTTGATGGCTAAGTTACTGATTTTTTCCCAAAAGAAGTCTAATAACTCACAAGCTACAAAAGAACTTCACAGTGCTTCAATTTAAATAACACCTGGGAACTGTAATAGTGATTAGCTAACCTATTAAAAGTGCACAAGTTAGTTTTGTGACAGCTTAGCAATATAATATAATGTCTGCTGCTGCTGATATGGAGCTGCAGGCTGCATAACTAGAAAATATTCAAGTCATTGAAAGTATGACTTTCTAACCAATGAATTCCTCATCTGGAAGGAGAAATATCAAACAGAGATGATCGGGGGGGAGGGGAAAAGAGTGTGGAGGAGACAAAGAGACGGATATGTGGAGGTAATTCAGATGCCATCTTCAAATTCCGGCTAAAGACTTTTTTTTTTGATTGTGGTTACGGTCACTTCCCCCCTCACTCTCCCGGCTCGTCGGCAAGACTCTGCCAGTGTCAAGCGCTACCATGCGTGAAGGGCGCTATATAAATGCAAGTTGTTGTTGAGGTGCTTGTAAGCTAATGAAAAGTGAATTGTAAATACAATCATTTTCTCTCTTAGACCACCTTTCTACATTAGAATCGCTCACCATTCAAGATGTGAACCTCACAGTTTGCTTGACGGATGTTCTGGATCTTATGCGGACCGCCCCTCTCAAAGGTGAGACCGAACAAGTGACGGAGTTACTTTATCACGTCAGTAGCAGCTTACATACGTTTGCAACAACATCAGTGATAAAATGATCAACCTAATTTCCTCTGCCACACACTTAAATTAACCAGGCACAGATCAGGAAATTTAATCTGTATTCTATCCCTCCATAACAGACCCTTTGGAAGAACAATAGTGTAATATTACAACAATACCAGAGTAGTGTAGTACTATACAAATTTACATTTTTATGGCATCTAGTGTTGGCTATACTACACCAGTGAAATTACTATAATGTGCCAGTGTGATGTGGAACCACGCAGTTCCAACGTATAGCACTGGTCAAATAAACTTTTTCACATTACGTTCACAGGTTTAACATTGGATAATTGTCGTTTGTTTGAAAGGCATCCAGCAGAAACTCTACCCAAAATTATCAGTGTGCTAAAGCAAAACCAGTCACTGACATCTCTATCTTTACCAGCGAATCGATTAGGTTGGTATATAAATGCAAGTGGGTCCGTATGAAACTCACCACCTGCTCCCTCGACCCCATCCCTACCCCCCCTCCCAGCTCCACCTCCTTGCCCCTCTACTCACTGACATTAACCTCTCCCTGTCCTCTGATACTGTTCCCACCCCTTTAAAAAACGCTGTCATCACTCCTATCTTTGAAAAGCCCTCCCTGGACCATTCTCTACTCCCTAACTCTAACTACCACTCCATCTCCAACCTCCCCTTCCTTTCCAAGGTCCTGGAACGAGTTGTTGCTTCTCAGCTTCACTCCTTCCTCTCCCGCCAATCCCTTCTCGCAGATGGACCATCTGCAAGCAGGGCTCCCTCGTCCTCCTTGTCCTCTCTGCTGCTTTCGATCGTCGACCATTCTATCCTCATCCACTGCCTCTCCTCTCACCTCAACCTTCATGGCGCTGTCCTTGATTGGTTCAGACGGTACCTCTCACACCACCGGCACTTCATCTCCTCAAACGGCTTCTCTAGCCCTCACACTGTCTTGTGCGGCGTTCCTCAGGGCTCTGTCCTTGGTCCCCTCCTCTTCAACATCTATGCTCCCTCTTGGTGACATCATCCGCAGACATGGGGTCAACTTCCACATGTATGCAGATAACATCCAAGTCTACCTCTCTGCCTCCACCCTCGATTCCAGGACCACTGCTGTGTTGACAGATCTCCCTGCTTCCCCTCCTCCCACCCCCAGTTCCGTAACTGTCTGTCCAGCGCCTTGGGACATCCTCCTGACATGAAAGGCACTCTACAAATATAATTTTGTTGTTGTTGTATACCCAATTATTTTAACCCCTCCATTACTATTACAATGTGACTAATGTTTTTTTTAACGTTCTGTACTTACTGTACTTACATCACTTCTTCCTGTTACCAGGCAACAAAGGTTTGCTGTCCCTCGCAAAAGTCTTCTCTCAGGATTCTTTATCGTGTATCTCCTGCCTGAATGTGAGGTAACCAACATTGTAAAATATACTTAGAAATACTTTTCTAGGTATTTATCATGTGACACAGATGGCACTATTTAATTATTAATCCTGCCTAGTAAAAATCATTATTTGTAATCACAAAAAGTACTCAATTTGGGATTATATCACCAAAGTAGGATTTTATACTTTAGCAGTAATTCTCAAGAGAGATGCTTCAAAATTTTATGGCATAAATTCATTATCACATCCCAGAAGTCGAGTATACAAAATATTCGCCCACAAGATACAATCAATTCACTTGACAGTATATTCTGCGAAGTGCTGTGAGACGTCTCAAAGACGTGATAAGGCGCTGTGTCAAATGCAAGGATTATTATTATATATGATATCTGAAGCTTTTCCTGTTTTATTTTCAAAGTGCAAACTGTATTGGAGGAGATGGACTGCTTGCGTTTGCAAAGCTCTTGCTGAGCTCTGAATCAGGCAGTGAGCTGGAGCTGAAGCTGAAAGAACTAAATGTCAGTGAGAACCTATTCTTCAAAGATTCTGCACTTGCCCAAAAGGCACTTGAACTCTTACAAAACAAGTGTCACGTGATCACAGCGCAGTACTTCACTGACCCATTACAAGCCTTTGCTGACCATGTCAGTATGATGTAGATATTTCCAGGATGGAGGAAGAAACAAATCCAGCGGCCTAGTGTTCAGCAAATTACAAATGGAATAAAAAAGCCTTATAAAAGCCGATTGTTTTAAAGGAATCCCAAACATGGACTTTTTATTATTTAAAAATCCTATCCATTTGCCAGATACCCTTTAATTGTAAATATATGAAAGCTTACCATTTTATGGAAAAGGAAAAACATCAGCCGGTATTCCAAATCACTGTCGATTGATTGAACTTTGCTGGAAAGAGTGCGTGGCCTTGAGAACAGGATCAGACTTGTCCACGTCATCTATTTTACTGAAAAGTACTACTCAATCTCACACTTGAAAGGCAACAAAGTGCTACCGGCCCTTGTGAAACCTGCTTCCAGCAGAACTTATTGCCTTCAGGAGAGGAGCAAAGAAAATTTGGCAAACCAAACATTCAAAGGTTCAGATTACAGGAAAGTTCTCCACTGAAATGGATATTCTGATATCTCAATACACAGTTCCATTTGAGAAAGAGAGTTTTCTGGTCAGATATAACTCCTGTGAAACATTGTGAAGATGAAAAACAAGCATTTTTAGTTGTGTTTTTATGAAGGACTTTCAACCTACAGTCTGCTGTAAAGACTGATCTTAAACTGGTAAATTACCAATTGATACATTTCACTTTGATCCTATTATGCCAAACATTACCATTGTTACTTTTTGTAAATAAATATTGATAATAAACTGTAGCAACTATTTGTTTAAATTGTGAGTTTACTGTTCCTGTGTTTTGGAAGCTAAAAGTTGAAAGGGCGAACTGAAGAAGTAAAAGTGAAATCCAATCCATAAGATGGTGGGGAATATTTAATAATAAAGATCTTGTGGTTCACATAATAACATTTGAAATGAACACACTAAATGTTTGTACAAAGTATGACTAAAATCTGTCTTAAAGGTGCATAGAAAAAAAATTATACCAACATCTCTGCAATGGTTTAGTTGGTGAAGGCACTGCCTGGAGTAAAACTCAATCACATAGACTTGGGATATTGCAAGTTTGACTCCTGATTTGATCTGACCCAGAGCAGTGATAGTGGCATTACAGTTGGACTCAATGCCCTGAGGTGGGGAGAAAAAATAATTCGTCAAGTGACTATTCTTGATCATTATCCAATGATCCTTGCTATAAAATCAAGCAAGGACAGGATCAAGCTCAGCTGTGATGCCCCCAGTCAAACAGTTTACTGACACTGACTATGTTACGTCTGTGACTGAAGTCAACTTCAGAAGAGGAAAGCAAATTGGAGAGAACCCGCCCCTCATGATAACTATACAAAAAACCTTTTTAAGTGGAACAATGAGGGTAGTAGAAGGGGAAGTCACTTGAATAATGATATTTCAAATATCCATCCGTATGCATTGGTGTGTCTGCCCATTAGAAGCACTTATTGCACAATTCTCACTGCTGTACAACATGGTTTCATTCACGAGTGAATTATCTTCCATTCATTCTGAAGTTCATGTAACTTCTCTGTATAATACACTGTGCTTACTGTTCTACGACAATACACTGAACTCCTGGGAATATTTTACTCTGTAGAAATGATCCAAAAGCACCACCTCCGAAGAATGAATGAATGTGTACAAGTCATAATGTATTTAGTATGTAAATTATATCAAGTGGAAGTCTTGGTCAAGGTGAACGAAGCAGTCAATCACATTCCTTAATGAATCTCAGGGTTTCACCACACAAAGCAAAAACCTGTTGACAATCTACATTTGTAGTCGAATTTCTGAAGATCTGGAATGGCATCTGCATTTACATTCAAACAACCCCTCGCTGCTCCTCATGGGAATGATGATGAAACACAAAGGAGACTGCAGCATCCCATGCAGCCTGAAGGACGGAGTCTCGCAGTCCACGCTTATCTGTACAGTGACTCCACTGAGAGAGATCCGACGTACAATCAGAATGCTCGGGAGGAGGTCGCACCTGACGGCCATTCACACATCGACGACACTTGAACCTACGCAAAGGTAAGGAAGTCATTTAGTGATCCACCTCATATGCGTTTCGCCCACAAAATATACTTTACAGTATATTCTGTGAAGCCCTTTGAGATGTCTAGCAGACGTGATAAGCCGCTATATCAAATGCAAGAATTGTTATTATTATATGTGACAACAGAAACTTAGAAAACATTATATCCATTGTAATTTATTAACTGAACAAACAGCTGTAAATGCTCTGCCTTAGTGAATGTAAGATCAAGTCCTTCAATCAAACCGCTGCCAATTTTTCTTTTGACTGCTGCATTTGAAAATATAGAGATCATCTGCCTCCTGAGACTCCCCTCGCGTACCTGGCTACTAGTCGATAAACAAGAGAAAATTTCATCAAGTCACGTGCCAATTTCATACCCCACCATCTTCCTCCTCTTAGTTAGAAAGTGCCTATTTTTAGTTCAATGCCATCTTTCCACCACCCCTTCTCCCATCCAAAGCATTAAGAAGTTAAGAGCACATCATGTGAGGCATCAATTCCTTTCCCCCACCCCCAACATACTTTTATATCAGACTTCTTCAAACAGAAACATTTTAAAATGATTTCTGCTGATTCTCACTGTAACTGATCAAATAGAAATGCACTTGCCTATCATGTGTGTCACTGGAGGTGCCCTCGCTCAGAGTAAAGAGTTCCCTAAGTTCTCCAAGGGAGAAGTGCCGCTCAACATCCTGCTGCTCATCCACCACACAACTGCTCAGTGCCTTCTTGTGTGTCTGGCGCTGCAAAATCTTCTCCTCGATCGTCCCGGTCTAAACAACCACAGTGGAACATATTACAGGCAACTCTAGGAATTTGGTATCTCACAAAGCAGGAGGTTTAAAGCTCCATTTAAATTATTTGAAGCAACGTCCCCTAAATATTAATAATGTTATCATTTGTGTTACATATTACATTTGAATATAAATGCAGCTAGGGTTTCAGACAAGGTACATTCAGCAAACTTTTAGTGTTTTTTGTAACTAGCAGTTTATACTATCAAAAAACTTTCTTTTTTTTTTTTGCCCGGTACACATTACACAAAAGCAGTACTGAAAGTCAGCCACATTCATACACTCCTCAGGTTTTATTCTCAGTGTCATCAATTCCTTTCCCCCACAATCTTACTACCTGAGTTTATTGTCGGTATGCTTCAAACATAACGGCATTCAAGGGAAACCTGACACAAATGTACAATAACTTGCATTTATATAGATAGCACCCTTCAAGTGGGGTAGTGTCTCAAAGCACTTAATGTAAATATATACTAGTTTGTGGGTAGCAACGGTGCCAGGTGTACAGATCCTTACTGATAAAAGCCTGTAGATGTAGCAGATCTTCTTTTGCCCGTCGCGCCAGACACGTGCCATTGCTTGCTCATCGTTGGCTGGATTCCAGTCTGGATCAAACATCACCAGCCGGTTTGCGCCAATCAGATTCAAGCCGCATCCGCCAGCTTTGCTGCTCAGCATAAAGATAAACTCAGGGCTCTGAGGAGAAATAAATGAACAATAAAAGTATCATACTGTATATCTACAATTAAAAGTCATGGTGAAATTATAAAGCAAAATTATGAATGATTCTGTCCTCTCTGACTTATCAAGCATCATCACTGTAATACTGCACTACACTGTAATACTGCACTCCTCTCAACTTGTGTGAGAAATACACTTTCTAGGAGAGGAATCTTACATCCATGCCAACTCTCAAACAACTGTTAGATTCAAAAACACTTTTTTATTTAAGCTATTATTTAAACATTTTAAAAAAAAATTGTGTTGGGAGTATCAACTGGTTAGCCACAGGCACTGCTTCCTAAATTTCACATTCTGAAGCATTTACTTTCTACATATAATAAATATTGTCGTGTCAGAGGTTATTTTTGAAATGGTAATAAGATACTGCACTTACTGCTGGACTATTGAAACGCTCCACTATTTTGGCTCTCTTTTTTATTGACATGGTGCCATCCAGTCTGACATATAGGTACCTGGCAGGATAAAATTGTTAATCAAACATTAGTAGAAGATACTACCAGAGAAGTAAAGGGAAATAAAATCATCACAGCAATAATCTACAGATTTCCTATTTGTGAACAGTTTGGTGCCTGGAGGAAAACTACAGAAAATCTGCCTCCAAGTGGTCTGTGGAAGTTTTTAAAACCATAAAAGCTAACACGGATAGAGAGAGACATGAGTAAGTACAGATATCTAATTTGATCATTTAACAATGTGGATAGTGTGCAAACTTCCGTATAAACTCTGCATGTTTATGATATGAGGCACTAAATCAGCACCATTCATATATAGAACAGGCTCAACGCTTACAGCTATTCTCAGCCCAATTAAAAAAAGAGTGCTGAATTCTGAAGCTGGTTGACTTTTCAAAATACATAGTCTAATATCTTTTTAATGTCAGTGTTAACTAATTCACGTTACAATTAGTTAACTAGGGCTATGAAACTACTGATTCTCCATTCATCTAAACCTTTATTCAAAGGAGAATTTCTCTTCATCGTGACTGAACAAAGCTCAAAACTACTGTCCTACAATTTATGCATAACGTACCTCCTGGTTCTGCAGAGCTTCTCAAACAAATCCAATGTCTGTGTATAGTTGGATACCAGCACCACCTTGTCAGAGCTAGTGCTTCGAGTCATGGCTAATATATAGTCAAGGACCAGCATCTTCCCTAAAATCAGACAAAGAGAAAATGTGGAAAAGTTATGTTTTGTTTGTTTTTGGCTGAGAAACAGCAGGAGGAAAATTTAGTAGGTAAGGAAAGAGGATGGGATTCTACTGTCCAGGATTTAATCAAAGAAAAATGATTCCTCAAATGTTATTCTTCAGATTTTTGACAAACCCCACTGAGCAAGAGATGCTTTCTTTTAAAAAGATCAAATGGTTCAATATTCTGAACCCTAACAGTTAAACTGAATTGAAGTGAAAGATTACCTGACAATTGGGGTTCTACAGATTTTGTGGAGTATCCTGAAGGAAAAAGATTAACTGCTCCTTGAAATCCCTCCTCACCTTCCACACATTTCTCGTAGATCAGTGCAGGGTCTGGATAAAAAAGGCAGAACATTTTTTAAAAATGCAAAGAATACAGCTTTCCAAATCAGAAGGAGGCATATCCTTTGATTAACTGCCTTTACTCTGATTTAAAGAGGTCAACTGGATTTTCTTTGATTATTCACGTTTTACAATAGTTATTTTACTGCACTCACGGTTACAAAGTTTCTTCAGTGAAGTAATAGAAGAGAGGGAGGAGACACTCATCTTTCCACTGTTAATTTGTTCCATCATGGGCTTGGCCTGTTTCAAGAACAGCTTGTACAATTCTATCTGCAGTGGAGTAAGTCTGAAGAGAAGAAAGGCGTTTTAATTGAATTGAATAAATCCAGATTCTCCTATTTTTCAAACTTTGGAAACCCATGCACACACCTACAAACACATACCTCCCTTTGACAGGGTTCAAGCACAATCCAACTACACTTAGCCTCTCATTTGGTTTAAAAACAAAATCATGATAGATAAAATAAGTCATCACATAAGATAGCAAAAACGCAATCTAGAATAAAATCACTTGTGCATCTGCAGCACTTCAAAAGCATCTGGCATAGGTCAGACACAAAAGGGAAAGCGTCCCAATTATTTCTAACCTACTCTAATGTGACATTTGCTTTTCCCCCGAAAAGCCATTTTTGTGGTTTCAATGTAGAGGACTTGAGCATAAATAATGATGAAATCGTTTAAGGAATAGCATACCGACCTCGTCATATAAAAACTATCATTAGAGATTTTAATTGGATATGATACAGTGTCAGTGTTCTCATACAATTAGAGATACAGTCAGTACCTGCAGCAGACAACCTGTTCAATTTTCACTGGCAAGTATTTCGATAGAATGTCCGATGTTCGTCGGATCAAACAACTGAAATAAAGGAAAGGGCAGTCAGAACAAACAGAAAGTCGGAAAGCAGAGTCAGGTGAAAGCAGTTCGTTACTTCAGTTTATGCAAATGTAGTGGAATGTCAGTGTGACAAATTTAGTTTCTCATTGCATGAACTCCTACAATTCATCATTTGCATTCCAACAAGGAATTAACTACCACAAAGCCACAGCAATAGTCAAACTGGTTCCAACTACCAATTCCCCCCAACTAACAAGTTTCCATCGCAAGCGGATCAGCTGAGGAAATAATTATAATCCTTGCATTTGATATAGCGCCTGATCACGTCTTTGAGACGCCTCAAAGCACATCACAGAATATACCGTAAAGTGAATTGACCATGTATTTTGTGGACAAAAAATGGAAAGTGGAGGTATTTCCCAACTGATGTGAGGGAATGGGAGGCGGTGGAAGAGAAGAAAGTCAAAAGGTGCTTCTCTTAGTCTCTCTCTGGAACCCAGTTACACAGGAACAGAGGCTCAGTCTGTCAGAGATTAATGTTCTAAATCCTATAACCTAAATTCTACAATCCTGCTGTACTATTTTTTTTAAATAAAGATGAAAGGGTAGACATTCCAATTCCAAATTTTAGTTATGCTCTGGGTAATGAATACTTTTATGATAAATCTCTTACCCATTCACAACACTGATCAGCTCTTTCAGTTTCTCTTCCCCACGCTGCCTTTCACTCTCACTTGCATCTGCATCGCGGCCCTTCAGGATTGGCAATTCAAATCGCTTTTTAAATTCTTGGGCAGTCCCTGAAAAGACATATTTTGAAAATTTATTAATCTCTTTTACTTATATCCATCCACATAGAACAGCTTCTCCAGCACTAAAATATCTTTAGAGCTTTCAATGCTCATCTTAGTGACTAATTGATGGATAATAATAATCCTTGCATTTGATATAGCGCTTTATCACATCTTCGAGACGTCTCAAAGAGCTTCACAAAATACACTGTAAAGTGAATTGACTTGTATATTTTTCAGGCGAAAGATGGTTACAGGAAGGGAGCTGCAACTTTGCCAAATGGTTCCGTACAAACTACGCATCAGGAATATACACTCACCGAGTATCCCTGAATTAACAAAATGTACGAGACTGAAGTACTCAAGCAGGTCATTCTGGATTGGAGTTCCTGAAATTAGCACCCGGCGTTTGGCTTTCAGACTGTTGAGAGCCTGGTATGTCTGGTTGTCAGAATTCTTCAGTCTGTGTCCCTGTGGTACAATTAACAAACCAGAATGTAACACAATTACATTTTGATTTTTTTTTAATAAGACAGCTATTGCAAAAATGTTAGGGGGAGAAGCTTAATGTACAAATGCTTCCATTACAATTTTGCACACCACGTTACCTCATCGCAGATGACCATACCGACATTCCCCCTGCAAAGCACTTCAGCATGAAGTCTGAACGTCTCATAAGAAATGATGAGGATTGGATTTGAGGTACGCTGTCCATACTGGCTCATGAACATACCTGTGCACAGAGAAAAGATGAAGAATATTGCTTTACATGTTGAAATATCTCAGAGCTTCACAGGGGTTTCTGAAAAGTGTATTTGTAGGCGAATGCTTAAGCAAATTTACACATAGTAATGTTCCATAAACAGCGATGAAATGAATGACCAATTTTTTTAATCTGGGATTTTTTTTACCCAGGACACTGGGGGAAAAAACGCTCTTTTCAAATAGTACCATACAATCTTTAATGTCCACTTCAACTGGGATATCAATTTAAAGTGTCATCCAAAGGATGGCACCTTAGACAATGCAGAATTCCCCCAGCACTGGAGTGTCAGTGTAACTGAACCACCTGTATTCAAATTCTCAATGCTAGGCGTCAATCCATAACCTAATATGAATTTTAAAAAACTCTCTGATTACGAGGCATGTTTGCAGCTGTAACTTACAACTGTTAAGGTTAAGAGTGTTCTGAAAATGTAGTTTCCCCTTTTGTTCAATATGCCGTGCTTAAATAAATTATAAAGAAACCCTTCATAGTATTACTTCTTTATACATTTTTTCAGAACATTTTAATTGTATATCCTCACTTGACTGTATCCGAATGCATTTTCGTACCTAGTTTAGTGTCAATCTCTGTCTTTGATCCTCCATCAATGGCCAGTGGCTGTAGTCTTCCTGCTAACCACTTCCCCACCTCATTGTACCAGTTCTTGACCAAGCTGGATGGTGACACTACAATAGCTTTCTCAATCTCTGGCTTGACATCTGGACTTTGCCGCAAAAGGGTCCACATCAAGGCAATGCACTGCAGAGTCTTCCCTAATCCCATCTCGTCTGCCATGATACAACCATAGCTGCCTTCAATGCGATGACCCATCATACAGTCCCACATAAACTTTACTCCCTGAAAGACAGCCAATTGTTCATATAAATACAACTTCAAGCTAGACAGAAGCAGCACAGTATGTTGGTACTCAATTGGAGCAGCATTGATATTCCACAATTTTTCATACAATGATCTCAACTGTGTTGCCAGTTAAGAGGTGCCAAGGGTTGGTTAGCTTTTTCCCTTGCACAAGGCAGGAAAAAAAAGGTTAGAATGTCAGTCAGCAGCCTTATCTACAAGATGCCTTTGTGAATCCCCTTGCAACTATCATTCGAACAACATTGGATCAAGTTCACAATAAAATGTTCCACAAACTCACCTCCCTCTGATGAGGTCTTAAGACAGAAGACAAAATGGGATCAACCACCACATGTACCGGAAGCTTCTCTCTGACAAAGGAAGGAAGGGGAAGTTCAGTGAAAGAATGCAAATAATTTTAAACAATTTGCGTTTAATAGGATATCTGTGATGCTTTCCTCCTGCCTGAGTGTTTATTTATCTTTCTCCCATCGGGTTTCTCATGACATACTATTCGTATTTAGACACCTTCAAATAGAAGACACAGGAGGCAAAGCAGTGCACAGCTCTAACATATAGGTCACTTAGTATACCTGACAGTGGATCAGGTGCGGAGCCCTGACTGTCCAGAGCCTTGGGACGTCCTCATGACGTGAAAGGCTCTATACAAATGTAATTTTTGTTGTTGAGTAGTTCTCAGTGATCTATTAGAAATTTCATACAATACTAACCTGGACAGGATCAAAACACAGGCAAGACAAAGCAGAAATTTCCTGGCAATTTTACATATACTTTCACACGAACAGGAACACAAAGATATTTTCTGCGTTGCAAATCTTGCACATTAGGAGAGCAAAGATCTGCAAGTGGCGATTCTGATTAAATAAAAAGTTTACCTTTAATCAATTTGCCCTGAATAAAACGCACTATTACCAAGGAATTTACACTTCCAACTGATTATCTGGATATATGTAGCATATTTCCAAAATCCAATCTCAAAATAGGGCAGTTAGAAATTATTACTGACTTGTCTGCTTTCAGTTGGTCATGTGCACTCAGAGGTGGTGGCTCGTAGAGCACTAAAGCGCCTTCTTCATAAGGATCATGGAGTGATCGCCTCGCTCCTGCACGCTTAATGCCCAGTGCCTTTAGTCCGAGAGGACCTTGGTATAACATTCAAATGAGGCACAGTTACTAACATACCATACAATTCTCTGCTGTAAATCTACATAATTATACATCTTCGTCCACTTTGTTGCAACTCATTCCCATATGTTCATTATTCCAGAAATAATATTTATTACAGCGTTAAAATCCACAAATATCAAATAATAAGCCCTTCTCAAAGTAGATTTCAATATGCTCATGTGCATCCTATTCAGAGCTAGCAGTTACATTTGAATTCACATACAGATACCATGGCTGAACTATAATAAGAGTAATTTGATATAATCATAGTCATTTCGATGAATATAAACTGTTCCAAGCTTCACTTTACTGAAGTGGGAGTTTCTACCTTGAATTTGCTCTTAAATCCACATAATTATAGATCTTAATCCACTTCGTTGCAACTCATTTCCACATGATCATTGTTCCCTAAATAACATTTATTACAAAGTTAAAATCCACAGAATGTAAAGAATAAATCTTGCAGACAGTACAGACACAGCACTATATATCTGTTACTATATCCTTACTGAATCCCATTGTGCACAGCCTGCTCAATTGGAAGCTGTTGACAACACTTCATTAACAAAGAATAGATTTTCCTAGACAACTATATTGCTTTTACCTGTGTAGTTTGGAATGGGCACTCGAAAGGGTTTAGCCAAGATGCTGCGGATGAAAGCCTCCTATTGAAGAATACAATGGGCAGCACAATTTTAAACATATTCTTCTAATAACCTGATTGGTATTCTAACTAATTCCAATGTTTAAATAAAGTTTAATTTTCAAAATTCGTACAAATACTAAAATAAATCTCCCAATTGAGCTCCACTGTAAAACCAGAGCTAGTTTTTAAGTGGAGGTTTCCCAATAACTAGGCAGGAGTATGGGAACAAAAAATTAACTCACAATTCTACTCCTCTGCCCGTCCATTGCTCAGGTAACAGAAGCCTCCCTGACCTCTCTGCTCTACCATCGGTCACCGAGCCTTCAGGTGCTCCGCCTCTAACCTCTGGAAATGCCCGCTTCTATTGTCTGCTTCTCTTCATCAATCTTTAAATCCCACCTGAAATTTACTTCATTGACCATGCCTATGGCCACCTCCCCTTCCCCCTTGCTGCATGTCCAACCTGATCAGTGTATTCGTTAAAAGCTGATAATGGTCAGAAAATGTACTGGTTGAATTACAGCCTCTGTAGAATGGGAACAGACAGGTACATTAAAATTCTGTTTTGCCCATTATTTATAGTTCACTATACGTGCAAACACTTGAAATTCAAATTCCTTTCCATATTACACCTCAAGCGTGTCTCCATATCCCCTAATCAAACCACATATCACTCACATGCTGACTACTGTCAAGGCATACAGGTCGATTAGTGAGCTGTGCAAGTGGTTTCCGAAACTGTGACACAAAGCTGTCGCTGCTTCGCTCGCCTTCCGGCTTTCGCCTTTTTCGATGCTGAAAGAAAAATAACACCTTGAGCATTTATATAAAAATATATATCTTACTAGTGGTCAGCCATGGAAAACAGCAGCCAAATTAAAACAAAGGCCGTTCCCCACAGAAGGGGAATGTTGAAGGAGGAAGTATCACTGGGATATCTGCAGTTATATCATCTGTTACAGCATTATAATAATAACAATCCTTGCATTTGATATAGCGCTTTTCACGTCAGGAGGACCTCCCAAAGCGCTTCACAAAACACACTGTGAATCGACTGTATATTTGTGGGTGAACGCGGCAGCCAATTGCGCACAGCAATGTCCCACAAACAGTCGTAGATTGAAAATGACCAATTTATTATTGGTTTTGGTTTTGGAGGGATTATTATTAGGCTCTGTGTGGAGTAAGGAAACTTGCCCAAGGTTTCGCCCTCTGCCTGGAATTGAACTCAGGTCTCTCACTTGCAAAGCGAGTGCTCTAACCACTGAGCGACAGGACTCCACATATAACCGTTTGCTGAACACTGAATTGTCCATACAAATTTTTCAACCATTTCAAAGGTTAAACTAGCAATAAGATTACTGTACCAGATCATAATGATAATCATCATCATCATCAGACACATGTCCTGGCTTCCGCTTGGCAAGCTGACTGGGAGCAAGACTTCGTCTCTGGGAAGAGAAAAACACCAAGATGGCAACTTTACACAGTGCAAGGGAATGGTTCATTTAAGGTTGTCCTGTCCAGTATCAATGGAACAAAATACAGCCACACTTATTTGATAAACGGTCAACAGGCTCATCCTCCCTCAATTTACTTACCATTTTCTGTATCTATGATTCTGCTTCAGGAAAGAAGTGCCATTTGATGAATTAAGTTGAACCCTTGCTTTACCCCTCAACAACCGATGACCCTAACCCGTGAAAAATCAACTATTTGATTTGCAATCTCTTTCTCTCAACCAACTTCTAGCCCATAACTACTGATCTGTGGTATTTTAGTTGTCATTCTCTATTCCATTGCTAAACCGACAGTTTATGTTTCTTCTGACCCAGATGTATGTTCAGGCCATTATCTCACCTCTTCTCTTTTTTAAATGAGTGCTTTCAGTTTGGTTTGTTTTACAGTTTGTTTTTTTCTTTAATAAGTAAGAACGTCTTTTATAAACCAGAGTAAAACGATAACTCTACTTTTGGAAATATTTCCACAGCGCTATTATTTTTATAGAGCTATTTTATTACCCCGTAAGTCTTCTACCTTGATAGAAGTTAGTACACGGGCTGTAAAATCTCTTGATGAACGCAGTTCTAGACCGATGGCTCCTGGGTTTTCCCCGATCATTACCGAACAATTACGGTCGCGCCCACGCAAACATTTAACGCGGCGCGTCCCGCAGCGACGACGATAATTACGACGACAATCCTTGCGTTTGACGCAGCTCCTGATCGCACCTTCGAGCCGCCTCGGAGCGCCTCACGGAACACGTGTTACACCGTAGAGCCAGCGGGCCCTGCGCTCCGTGGGCGAAACCCGGCAGCGCAACTAATCTCTGCGCACGGCATCGCCTCCTCAAACACCAATAGGTCCAACAGTGATGTGGCTGTGACATTGATGTCCAGTCTCAGCCTCTCCCTCCCTCCCCCCCCACACAACCCCCAACCCAAACAACCCCCCAACAACCCCCAACCCCTAACAACCCCCTCCCCCCAACCCTAACAACCCCCTCCCCGAACCCTAACAACCCCTCCCCCCAACCCTAACAACCCCCTCCCCCCAACAACCTCCCCCCAACAACCTCCTCCCCCCAACCCTAACAACCCCCTCCCCCAACCCTAACAACCCCTCCCCAACCCTAACAACCCCCTCCCCCCAACCCCTCCCCAACAACCCCCTCCCCCAACCCTAACAACCCCCTCCCCCAACAACCTCCTCCCCCCAACCCTAACAACCCCCTCCCCCTCACAACCCCCTCCCCCCAACCGGATCAGTTCTCACAGGGCCCCCCCCCCCCCCCTTCCCTCCTGTCTGTGGGTATGTTTTACTCCCTGTGTTTCTCTGGTCCCATATAACAGTCTCTCATCCCGTCACTCTCTCTCTCTCTCTCCCTCCCTGTTCGGTAGCCTCTCTGTGTGGCTCTGGATGACTTCTCCTCCTCCTCCTCCTTCTCTCTCTCTCTTTCCCTCTTTCTCTCCTTCTCTCTCTCTCTTTCCCTCAAAAATTGCCGCCCTCGAGGCACCGGGGGGCGGCCAGTGCGCCTGCGCAGTGCCCGGGGGACGGGCGCCGGCGAGGTTCAAACCGTGGCCTCACGGCGCGCGCTCAGGGGCGGCTCCAACCGTCCCCGACGTCGAAATCCCGCGGCTCCCGCCCAATGGGCGCCGGGTTGGGCGGCTTCACGCCCGATTGGGCGCGTTCCCGCACTCGTCTCACAGGCTTTAATCACAGGCTGTCCACAAAGTCCTGTTACCCTCCTCTTGTCTTCTTCGCCCCATTTACAATTCATTCATTTTTATTTTCTGCCCAGGATACAATAACAATAATAATAATAATAATAATCCTTGCATTTGATAGAGCGCCTGATCGTGACGTTGACAGCCGTCTCGAAGCGCTTCGCCCGGTACACACCGCGAAGCGAATTGGCTGCGCGTCCCGTGGGCGCGAAACGCGGCACTGAGAGCCATCGCTCACTCGCAGTGGTCCTCCGGACCTCGATATGCAGTTAAACGCTCGTACCGAGTACCACGACGCGACTTCTAACGTGCAATCATCACCGTTCCGCCGCACGTTGCAGCTGTTGATTCAGTGCAGTGCAGAAAACAAAACATCGGGATGACGGGACTTTGGGAAGAGCCTCTACCGCGAGCGAAGAAACAGCTCTGGCCGGGTGCCTAGTTTTTCTTTTTTTAAAAAAAAAGTAATTTCATTTTGGAGTCCTGTGGCTCAGTGGTTAGAGCACTCGCTTTGCAAGCGAGAGACCGGAGTTCAATTCCAGGCAGAGGGCGAAACCTTGGGCAAGTTTCCTTACTCCACACAGAGCCTAATAATAATCCCTCCAAAACCAAAAACAATAATAAATTGTTCATTTTCAATCTACGACTGTTTGTGGGACATTGCTGTGCGCAATTGGCTGCCGCGTTCGCCCACAAATATACAGTCAATTTACTTTACAGTGTGTTCTGTGAAGCACTTTGGGACGTCCTCCCGACGTGAAAAGCGCTATATCAAATGCAAGGATTATTATTATTATTATCCTGCACAATGTGTTTTTCCCCTCCGCTGCTAACCACAGAAGGCATTGCATAGTAGCGTGATATGGTTGACTTGGGCTACAACCCTATTTTTATTTCCCTGGGTTTTGCAGTGATTTTAATACTGTATTTAACTCATGTTTTACAAGCTTTGTGGGTTTTTTTTCCTTCGACGGGGGCGGGGGCGGAGCGAAGGGGCAAGAGAGGGAATGCCTGGAAAGAGTCGTCATTTGGTGAAATGCATCATACTTTGAAAAGAAATGAACAGGATTTTTGTTTCCAACGTTACCAATCAAGTTGTTAACCCCCCCCCCCCCTTTAAATAGAAACGCAATCTGCCTCATGAGGAATGTACGGCGTCTAGAAAGGTATTATTTCATTTGGCACAGCCTTAATAGAACTGATCCTACTACGCGATACGCTCAGTTGAATTGACATCCCTTCTCTCTCGCTGGTGCTATTATCGGCAACATTGTTTTTAATAAGTTGTGCGTAAGTTAAGTCACACAGTGCAATGTAGTCCGAGATAAAAACTTACTCACCAGTAGATGGAGCACCAGTGCTGTCTATGGATTAGTGGCTAATAAAATAACAATCCTTACATTTGATATAGCACCTTTCATGTCAGGAGGACACCTCATAGGATTTACTGTAAAGTATAATGATTGTATCTGCAGGGGAGGAAAAACTGCAGTGTAGTCCAGCCATCCAGATTCCCAAGGGCAACCGCAACACTCCCGATATTCCACTCACAACTGTCTTGAAATAAAAACTAAACGATGGAGTTAGCATCGTTCTCCTTATGAAGTGTATTTCGTTCATTTTTAATTTATAGCCTAAATGTATTTAATAACAGATAAATGCTTCAGTTTCGACACCAGATACATGGATTGGGTGTATGATTCATCACACGAGTAGATAGCAAGTTAAGTCGTTCTGGGTAGGTGGGTGGGTAAGGAGAAAGTCAGACATCTTAGTTAAAAATTGTATGGTTAATTTAATTTCCTACAACACTTGTGGCCTCTCTGATGTACTCCATTGTTATTCTAGTGTCAGATTTATGTTCTTAAGATAATAACAAGCACTAAAACTGAGGTATAGAACTGCTACAATGCTAATCCACTGCTAGACTACAATTTTATGGATTTCTCATGTCCTCTTATCTCCTACAGGGATGGATTAAAACCCAGGTTCAAAAGTTGAACAGAATGGGTTCTAATCTAATGCCAGCTTGAATTTACAATGCAGTATTTAAAACAAAAATAGTACAAAATATTTTAAAAATATATTTAAAAATCAGTACAACACTGTACATTAAAATGGAACCAGAGGCTTTTTGAAGTACATTGTGTTTTCTGTCTTGCACAAATCTGGTTCTCTTCATCTTTAAATTTCAATATAATCATCCAGAGAAGACTGTGGAAGGGAAGAGACATTAATGAAGAGCTTGTAAGGACATCGGAAATTAGTTCAAAAGCAATCAGTAAAGAATCGCTAACAACAAGCAGATATTTCATAAGACATTGTGGAAAAAAATGAGTGACAGTCAATTTTTTAAAATCCAAGGAGAACTTGATTACTCAAGGTTCATTAGTAACACTGTGGTGAATGATGATAGAGAGTCTCACCATCAGGAACCCTTTATAAAAATATTAACCCATCCATATTTGTAAGGCAAAGTAAAAGTCAGCAAGCTATTAAACGGGGGGGGTTTCACAACCAAACCAGATATTGTCCAAAGCCATTATTTGTATAATATAAATGTTTATACAATTGCTAATATTACTTGAACCTAACAATATGTGGGAGCTGAAATAACATACATAGTCGATAGCTGTGTATTAAAATTAATTGACACTTGTGCAGCATCTCCATTCCTACACCCCACATAAACACAGTCTGAGCGAACGTGCCCATCAATCCTTGGATTAGGACTCGAGTGTCAGCCTAAACTGAACTCAAAGTGGGGTTGAACACATAATCTTTTGACTCACAAAGTGAGAGTGCTACCAACTGAGCCAGGCTGACACTTAGTCCAGTTCCTTCCCATTTGAAACGGCTGTAGAAGCTGTATGGAATAATCAGTGCTTCAGTTGATGCACCGACACACTGCAGTGATGGTAAGAATCTGATTCCTGTGATTATGCTTCAAGGTCCTTGTTGCTGACTTGATCTCTTTGAGATTGTGCCAGATCACATGGCATGGAGCTACCATGTGCCCATCATAAATATTTTACTTGGGAATATGCAAACTTATTAGTGGTCCCTCAAGAGTTCAGGCTGTGATCAAAATGGACGACACTGTTTCAACTAAAAGAAGTCAAATTCATACCCAAAATGTTGGAACCATGACCTCCTTTTTGATACTAAGTATTGCAGTTGTATTTCTGCGGTGATGCAGCTGGTAAAAACTGATTCGCCCCCAGACACCTACAGACCTGCATAAAGAGACGCTCCCTCTTCATCCTGCTGTAAAACTGTAGCACATCGGGATTGGCTCGTACTACTTTGGGGTCAAAATCCATCACACGAAGACCTTCCAGACTTCGAGCACGGGACAGAGCGACATAAGCCTGGCCACTTTCAAACACACGCGCCAGCGAGATCTCTACACAGTCCAGAGACATACCCTGAAAGAGAGTGGTGGGGGGAGAGCGGGAGCAAACAGAGAATTAAAAGTAACCAGTATATGTACTTCTGCCTGATAAGCACTCAATAATAATTCCCACTAATAGGATTTCTGAATATAAACCATCAATGATGTATATAAATCGAGCTCATAAAATGTTCAGCAAATTGTGCTCTCATAACCTGGCCCAAGGTGCACACTAACTAACTGATTTTAAAGCGAGACAATTTTTAAAATATTATCGTGCTTCATGCTGAGGGAAAGTGATTAATGATATAGCAAATGGTACAACTTCCATTAGATCGTTAAAGAGGCACGATTGCCCGGATGGACTGCGTTCTCAAGTTTCTTGATGTAAATCAAATTGGCCATTTTAATAGCATCAGATAAGGCAACAAGGCAGTAGTTGCATAACGTCTCTGAAAAAAATAAGCCATATCCAATTCGACTTTCTCTGCACCCCCATCTGTTGATGTTTCCTGGTACAGCTTGTTCCCTCTGGGTAATAGTGCAAAGTAACAAAACAGCTTCACTGCCGTGAAGCTGCATGCTCTGGGATATCAAACAAACATAATCTTTTCCAGTAACTCTCCTTAACAAAAACCTGCCGAGCCAGCCCAAGGCTACTAATTAATTAATCTTTGAACACAGATCTCGGGATAAAGGTTAATAAACCTTAGCAGAACCGCTGAAGAGTCCCACCTGTGAGTACTTGCAAGCGTGCCCAGCAGGCTGGGTGGAAGGGCTTTGAACCAGCATGAAGTTTTTCAGCCAGAGTCAGTTTTTGAAACGTCTCGTTCATTGTATAACGCGAGGTTATATTAACCCTTGGGAGCAACAAAGGGAGTTTCAGCACAAAATTAGTGCCGGATTTATGGTACGGCATATTATGGCACAGAAAGAATATTGTCTGGCTCTACCAGAGACATGAGAGGCAGAGTTTGGGCTGCTGCTCTCAGAGCTGGGCAGGAAATCAACCTCTAGACAGACATGGGAAAAACAGCCACTTCATAAACATAAAATCTGCAATTAGAAACACCACGCACACAAAATAATATATCGCTGATCCTGTTTGCAGCCTCAAAGACATGCACAGTGACAAGAAAAGTGTTAAGGAAATCTCACACACAGGTTTGTGCTATTTTTCGAGATATTGGCAATCTTGTCAATAATTGTGCGCTATCTTTATTGAGCGTGCAAAGTGATTAAATACCAATTCTTTACGATTGTCAAACGCTAATTAAGCTACACTTGCACTACTTTTTTTTTTAAAAAATGGTAGTGGCACAGACAAGATGGGTCAAATGGGTCTCGGAGTTCAAAAAGCTCAAATATCAATCTCAACTACAGTATAATCCTTACACTATAGAATTATGACACCTTTGATATAATCCTTTAAAAGTGACCATTCAAACCTGACTCTTGTGAATGGAGATGGCCCAGGCCAGCCTCAGGGGCAACTGCTGTCTGGTCAGGTAGATCCCACTTGAAGCTTTAATTGTCCAGCGTTCTGGCTTTATTGTCTCGGTTACTCCACACAAGAAGCGTACCTGGGGCAATGCTACAAAGAAAATCTCAATAGTACTTACTTATTTTTAAGACAGGTCAACACAGCACACAAATGCCCGAGGCATTCAGAGCAGACACAGCTTAGTCAAAATCGAAAGGTTTATGAGTGAAGTAAATTTATTTTCTCACAAATTCGCTCCTGTTCCCGTCTCTTCAATTTCATCCTAGACTTTGCACTATTTTCTTCCCAAAAGCCCAGACAGACAGTTGATAATAATAATAATAATCCTTGCATTTGATATAGCGCTTTTGAAGTCTTCTCAATGTCTCAAAGCGCTTCGCAGAATAGACTGTAAAGTGAATTGACTGCCTGTTTGCGGGCAAAATGCGGCAGCCAATTGCGCACAGCAGTGTCCCACAACAGTCGTAGATTGAAAATGACCAATTTTTTTTTGAGGGATTATTATCAGGCGTGCAGAGTAAGGATTCTTGCCCAAGGTTTCACCCTGCCAGGAATCCCTAATTAATTAATTAATCCCTTCCTTAATTGCCAATGTGTATACCAGTATGTATGGAAGAAAGCAGTGTCCAGGAACTCATTTTCCATTTTATTTTTGTAGAAATTCATTGATTAAAAAAAATCAATGATAAAGAATTCACCATATATAGCATGAAGAGTTTATGAAAAAAAATGAACGCAGCATGGAGTATGGGAGGAAGGGGTTTCAAATATTACATTTACATTTTAAGTCTTTCTAATACTCTTTCTCCCTGACTGTTCTTCAAAACGGTTTCTGTTCTTGGCATCACACAATAACTCTTGCTGCATTCATCCATGTTGTTCATTTCCACCCCCCACCCACAACTTTACAATAGGAGTAAAGCTTTTGATGGCATTGCAGCAAGCGAAACCTGTGCAGAAGTGTCACTAATCTTTCAAGGTCTTTACAGGGTGATCAAAAAGTCGTGATCCTGTTATAATGTCTAATGAGTCTTCAGAAAATGATTTTTTTTTTTACATAATAGGGTATCTTCACAAGTTTTTGGTCACCCTGTAAAAGATCTTCAAAGTAAAGAAAGTACAAGCACACACCTTTATTTTCAGATTCAAAGCCCAGAACGACTCCTCGAGCACCATTTACCATCCCTCGCTGCACATCCAGGTTTTTGGTCAGCATCACCTGCAAAATGTAAAAAACCATCTCAACATACAGAACAGCATAAATCATCTCAACACATCCCTTACTTACTGCTTCAGTGCATGGGATATCCCTCTGCCACAATATCAGAAACCCTGTGCGCAATTGGCTGCCATGTTTCACCCACAAAATTTACAGTCGTTTCACTTACAGTATATTCTGTGAAGCGCTTTGAAACGTCTTCCAAGACGTGATAAGGTGCTATATCAAATGCAAGTATTATTATTATTATTTACTGGTTATTGTTGATATACTCTAGCACTGGATGGAGATACAACACAAATACATGAAGACTTAAACATGCAACACATTGCCAATCGCACCGAGACAATCGATTCTAGAGCAGAAATGGTAGGAGCCCGATCGCAAACTAACCTGAGCCCCTTTCTTCAGCTCCAGTGTCTGACCCGCAGGACATTGTGCATTTAGTGTTTGTACTAACATGGGGTCACTATCAGAAGCATTGAATGTGTGCACCTTGCCTGTTAAAAAAAGGGAACAAGAAAGAGTGTGCTTCTCAGAGACAATAGACAGTCTTATCATCTAACCAGTATTGCATGGACAGGCATTAAATGTCACAACACTGGTGTTGTTAAACAGCAGCTGCCTTAAATGTTAAAAAGCAATTATTAGTTAATTACTAACATTTGACAAATGGTGTCTGATAGCATTGCAGAGCAACAAGGCACCAAAAGACAGTGGTCCTGTTAGACAAGGATTTTTTTTGCAATTAATTTAATTCTGTTTCCCGGAAAACATCCGACTGAATACACATTATTGGATAAATAAACGACGAGACAAATAAAGAATATAAAACCAGTGCAGAATTACAAAAGATCATTCAATAGGCAAAAACATGTGTTGTGCAACAACCCTATTCAAAATGGTCCAAATATGGAGTTTGCAACAAAATCAGATTAAGATCTCGAGCTATACCAGAGGCAGACAGAGAGTGTGTACAGTTGTTTCTCTGATATATTACCTGGTAAATGCTGAAGCCTTCGCTCATTGGTCAGTTCCACATCATCTTTGTGTGTGCAGAGTCTCGTGGCTAGAATGCCATCTTGATCGATTTTGTGGCTGGCTGTTTTAATCAGTTGGGCTGCAACCTCTTCTGTACATCTAATTATAGGAAATATTGTTTCACAGCCCTCAAGTAACATTCTTGCAAACTAAGCTCCCTATGACATAGTTTTCAGATCTCGGTCCTATAGACAGCGAAAAACCAACCATTGAATAGTCAAATATTTCATCAAATTCCATCAGTTTCAATGAGATATTATTGCTGTTATATTCAATTTTACAGAAACAGAAAAATTACAACGAGTGAGGCTTGGAAGGAATATACTATACTCTGGTTAAACAGGGTTAATACTTGCCTCCCTATCCGGATGGCTTGCAAAATTGCAATGAAAGCCTTATCAGTTTGTCTTCGCACTTCGGTTAATTCTATGTTCAAGTGAATACATTTCCGCCAACTCTTAGCCTGAAAAGTAACACAAAGACCATTCAGTTTAATAGAGAATGAAAAGGCCTTCTGTTCTTAAAGGAATACAGAAAATTGCCCTGGCCTCCATATTGGCAATTTGCATCTTTTTAATGGCCATTTGTAGAAGAATATACTGATCGATTTAGTCCATTTTCATCTTCTTTGCATACTAGATGTAATGGGATTACTGCCACATAAACAAATTTGTCACTGTATGAAGCACTGCAAGAGGATGGGGAGGAAGACATTGTTTTACATAGTTCCCATTTAATTCATTACCTGAAAACAAAATGTTTTTTTTTCATTGGTTCGGATAACAGGAGGAAGCTGTAGGAAGTCTCCACACACTATCAGCTGGATTCCACCAAAAGGCTCAATGCTCTTTCGAACAATTCTATACAACGAAAGAAAATACCAAAACATGTTAAACTGTTGTAATATTCCCCTCAAACCAATTACTCCAGTAACCCCTGGGGATTAAGGTAAATCATGTGGAGAAACAATTGCTGCCATTTACAAAAAAAATTATAATGCAGGCTACAATGCAACAATTATATTGTATTACACATTTGGAATTCAAAGCCATAATTCATGTAATGCTGCAATTGCCTCAACAGATTGTTGACAATTGCTCAATACTATTTCTCACTATTGAAAGCAATTTTCTCATTGCGGTGCTCCACAAATAGGACTGATGCATCCTCCAATAAGTTCCTTTCAAGGCAGAGACCTCCATTACTTTAAAGCTCAAAGCAATAATGAGCTCAAACCCCATTAGTCACATAGCATGGCAAATCAATTTTGACTCTTCTTACAATTCAGTGCTTCAGTTTTAATTGGAGGGTCACATTACATACCTGGCCACAGCTTCAAGTTTATCAAAGAATTCTCCATTGACCATGGAAATTTCATCTATAATAAGATGTTTGCAATTTTGCCAATGTTGCAAGACCCCCGGTCTCTGAGCTAACTCAACACACTGCTGCATGGGGGCCTTTCCAGAGCCAATCCCTAGAAACAGAATAAAATCACATACAGAAGAGGATCTTTTGTATAGAGCGAGACTGGAAATGCTTATGTAACTTATACTGATAACACACACAAAGGAAGAAAAAAATTTAATGTTTCAGAGACTTTAAAATCTTCCCCCCTCCCCAATTTGGACCAGTGTTTTTGCACATCAACAAATGAATGAGGAAGGTGGTTTCTTCTTAATTTCAGATCTTTGGAGTTAATCTGGAAACGTCATTCTTTTTCTCTCAGAATTTGCATTCAGCAGTTCACCTCTCCTAGGAGATTAAATAAGTTTGTGGGGGTTGATGGTTGTTATAGCAGAAGTACCATTGCTACTGACCTGCGAAAGAGTGGAGTGTTGTCCCTCCAATGTGACAGGCAGCCACTCCAGTACTGGCTGTGGTATAAGTGCTCTTTGGGGGCAATGCTCCCACAATCCTTTTCAGCAAAAAAGATTTCCCAGTTCCTTGGAATATAAAATACAAAGCCCATTAACATTCACTAAAACACCTTTATCTACCTTTAGCGTTATTATGCTTAAAAAGTTTGCCACTGGTCCCTTGTCATAGGAAGAATAGACCATCTCACAAACACATTTGTGTCAACTGAATGCGTATGAAGGGAAATTACATATAGAAATTGTGCTCCACCACTGCCAAGCACTCTGGGACCCTGCCCTGTGTGGGGGAACGCTTTATAAATGCAAGTTGTTGTTGTTGAAATCATTTTAGGGTTCAAGAGACAGGTAGGTGACCCGCTTGAGACCCTTACAGGTTCTTTCTTGCAATACTGATCTGTAACAGACTGCAAGGAAATACTGTACACAGTAAAGTGGGCATGAAGCAGTTCTAAATTCTCCCACGTCCTACATATCACAACAACATAGATCTGAGCTTTGCGTATGCAACCATAGTAGAGACAAATCTACATCTATTTTGTGGCACAGCACTTTGGACCACATCATGGCAGCAAGATTGTAATTGTTAATTGAAAAAATATCCACAGTGCTCTATTAAGACCAACAGCATCTCATAAGTTACCAGCACTTCCAGTGAAGAAGACATTCTTGCCACAAAGGACAGTGCGCAAGACATGAGACTGTTCTTTTGAAAGCTTCCTTTGAACTGGCATAGACAAAATGGCCTTCTTGGCAGGTTTCAATCCCGTGACCTGCATCCGAATGAAACAAACATTGAGTATCATTTGTTATATGCATATATTCTTACTGCAATTTGTGAAGCATGCGAAGTCAGTCAGACCAGATCTACCCCTTCTAAAGCCACGTTAGTTGACATTTATTAAGTTATGTTAACACAGTTGATCCCCCATCTGCTTACAGCTGGGATTCCATGCCACCCTCTTCCCCAACAATATACTTTTATTTCCATTGTATTCCAGGATACCACTTAGCAGTAAAAACATGATCCAAAAGATTGGGGGATGGAGGTGGGTGGTGGGGGCAGGTTATGTACCGGACAGTTTTCTGAAGAAGTTGTCCGTGGTCGTTTAACCTGTCTGCCTGGACAAGCATTACCCATTCGATTCTTCGGTGCTTTTGTAGAGACAGGCGTGTGTACATTTTGCAGCATCCGAAGCTCATTAGCTCTTTTCACATCGTGCAGTTGCACAGGACTAATGTTGTCAAATGTCTTCGGGAGCACAGAGAGAAGCCGTGTTCGGTCACTGGCTTGCTTGCTGCTTTTCTTATCTGCACCATATTTGATTGCAAGAGTTTTAACGAGCACTTGCAGTTTATCTGGTGGACAGTTTGAAATCAGGATTTGAACATTATCAGGCACAATTTTGATGCAACTCTTCCCATCCCTAATAAACCGCGTGAAAAGTTGGATTTCACGGAGGACAAAATTTTGAAAGAGTTTCCCATCGTCTACTCGGAGAAGGATGTCCCGCAATTCGTTACGTCCGAGGAGGAGGGTGGCATTGCGGATGACTTTCCGTTTGGTGGCCTGACCGGCCTGGTTAAGATATTCAATAGTAACATTGCATGTGCATTGTACCTCAGGAGACTCCATCCTAGATTGAGAAAGGAACTGGTTTAGAGGATTGTAACCAAGAACGACAATAATCTCTTTATATGTGTGTGTGAGAGAGAGAGATTACATTTTATATTAAATTACATCTTGTATTGCGAGATTGAGCATTATCTGCCTACGCATACACAGTCACTTCACAACACCTATAGCTTTCAATTGCTGTGAATGTCTGAAAGGAGCGTGTTTTATCTTGCAGTTCCTAGTTTTTTTTTCCCCATTACGTTACATCACGTTGAATTGGCTTATTTCCTGATAGGTATATATGACCTTAGCATCCGTGCACCACACCAAAACGCTATACCATGACATATACCTAAATATTTTGGTTAATTCTTGAAATCTGGATCAGACCTGCGTCGACCTTGCGCTGCGAGTCTCATTTCTTTCCAGAATTGTTTGCTTTTTTTTTAAAAAAAAAATCTGCAAGAGTGCAACACGAAGTCTGCATTGCAGCCTTCCTTGGTCGGTATCAATATCGCTTGAGTTTCGCTGCCGATACGATTCGCTGTGGCTCACTCCCTCCCCTCGATCCGCGCGGGGGACTCCCGGTAAATCTACCACCGCGTCTCAGAAAACAATCTCACAGAAGAGAAGGGACCGCTCTCACCGGGTTTACCTCTGGGCCCGAAGGCTCTGCTGACCGGGGGTGGGGGGGTGGGGGGAGGGGGAAGTTGCTCGTTCTTTCGCTGAAGGTCGTTGGTTTGTCGGGAATGCTCGTGGCTCTTTCCCCCCCGCGAGCCCGTGCGTCTCTAAAGGGGATATAATTGCGGGCGCCGTCACTGGAGGGCAATTTTGTGCCTCTCTCAGCAAAATCCCGAGCACGGTCTCTGCGGTCGGAGATTTCAAATTTGCCGGCAATAAATTCCACCAATCAAACGAGGGGGGGCTTTAAACTCTCAGCCAATGCGATCGCTGGACGTCAGCTGATCGGGGGGCGGGTTCAGAGGTCGCGCGCCCCCTTTGTGACGTGACCGCGGGCCCGGGCGTTCGCGACAATGTTGCCGAGTGTGTGTTGTATCGGCGGAGCAGTGGGCGGGGCGATCTCAGTGACGTTTCACAGCCCAGAGACTGAGAGACTCGTCAGGACTTCAGTCAAGTTATACTATTTAATAATAATAATAATAATAATAATATTCCTCGCATTTGATATAGCGCTTTTCACGTCGGGAGGACGTCCCAAAGCGCTTCACGGAACACACTGCAAAGTGAATTGACTGTATATTTGTGGGCGAACGCGGCAGCCAATTGCGCACAGCGACGTCCCACAAACAGTCGTAGACAGAAAATGACCAATTTATTATTGTTTTGGGGTTTTTGGAGGTATTATTATTCGGGGTGTGGAGTAAGGAAACTTGCCCGAGGTTTCGCCCTGACCTGCCTGGAATTGAACTCGGGTCTCTCGCTTGCAAAGCGAGTGCTCTGACCACTGAGCTACAGGACTTTGTGTGTGTGTTGTTTTTTTTAAAAAAAACTACTATTGTAGTTCAAAAAAACGCACACAGAAAAAAAAACAATAATAATGTGGTCACTCAATCCACCCACCTTTTGCGGGGAAACTGCTGTGCGCAATCGTCTGGCTGACGCGGTTCGCCCACAGAATAACACAGTCAATTCACTTTACAGTTTATTCTGTGAAGCGCTTCGAGACGTCCCGGAGACGTGAAAAGCGCTATATCAATGCAAGGATTGTTATTACTGTAATAGCATGTTTAATAAATTCATGAGTGTGCAATTGTGGGCTTTGCTGTGGCACTTACTCGGACCTAAAAATAATTTGGCAAGATAATTGCAACCTCATTCCAGTGACCTATGGAAGTGAAAATACAGTATCTAGTTTCTGGAAGAGAGGGGAACTTTAATCCCACAGGGGTGACTAGTTTACGTAAAAGCATAATGCACGAATATGTAACATGCTCCAAGATACTACTAAAGACAACAACAACGATTTACACTTGTATAGCACCTTTCACTTCAGGAGTCCCAGACCTGTTACTCCAATGTCTCAAGGGATAGACATTGGAGTAACAGGTCTGGGACTCCAGGGATGTCTCCAGTTTACACTCGCTGGTCTGTATGGCTCTTCCTCAACCATTGAAAGATCCAGAATTAAAGCTATGAATGGCGATTTTACCACTAAATGTTGTTCGAACTGCTCTGGAACATGCACCACCTTCAATCTGAGCAGCACTTCCTGTGATCAGGCTATGTTATAAGGCTGCTTTTTCAAGAAGATTTGGAGTATAAATGTAGTAAAACTCTTACTCACAATTATGCTCATTCAGATTTGTTTACAGACTCAATATAAAAAAAGGCATGAACGAGTGGGTAAAAGAAGACAGTTACTGAGGAAAGAGATGTGGCTGTGAAAACAGATTTTAGTGAGCACATCATCAAACGCAAGAAGGAAAACAGAAAAAATTAAAAAACATAAAAAGCATATTTGGCAACAAACAGACCTGGTAATCTGTTGCAACAATGCCAATTGCTAATAAGAGGAGGGATCAGTCTGTTCAGTACATTCATCTATGATCATGTAGCTGTTTCCATGCCTCATTTTGCACTAAATAGTGTTTTCTGTGACAGAGCCAGCATGAAACTGATGGTAGCTTATGGTTCCTTTTCACTTAACTGAAACACATCAATACACGCCAGTCAGCAATCAATTATTAGTTTCAGAGAATCATTAGCTTTAATATATGTCAGACAGCCAGATCACCAGCACACTGCAGAGTGATGTAGCATGTGGGAGAATAAGTGACAAATAATTTTGTCAAATCACAGGAACAACAACAACAACAACAAGATTCCATTTATAAAGCGCCTTTCACGTCAGGAGGACGTCCCGAGGCGCTGCACAGTTGGGTCATGACCCGAGCAGGGGGGAAATGGTCAGGGTGAGGGGAGGGAAGGGAGGGAGCGAGGAGGGGGGAAATGGTCAGGGTGAGGGGAGGGAAGGGAGGGAGCGAGGAGGGGGTAGAGAGTCGAGAGGGGAGCTGAAGGCACGGAAATTAATAATAGGCATATGTTATGCTAATGCAATGAGCAGCCCCACTTTGTAATTGCAATTTGTAATTTATTTTTTTAAAATAACATAATTGAGGGTTTAATGATGCTTCAATGGGCAAATGAATTACCTGGTGTGGGAATGTGTCAATTTATAATAATAATAATCCTTGCATTTGATATAGCACCTTATCAATGTCTTCTAGATGTCCTAAAGCCATTCACAGAATATACTGCAAAGTTAATTGACTGTTTTGTCTGCGAAATGAGGCAGACAATTGTATACGGCAGTGTCCGACAAGTGACCAAATAATTTTTTTTTATTTTGAAGAGACTATTTTTAATTTTTAAATCATGAATTTCATTCCAATTCAAGACAAAGCTCTAAGGGCTGATATCACAAAGAACTAAATCACAGTCTGAGCTGCTCCCTCAAGTGGGAAGCAGAACTTATGAGAACATTTGGGAATGAGTGAATAATATATTACACATATATAATCATTTTGTCAGCAAGGTTTGTAGTCAGTATATTATTACATATGACGTAGGCAATATGCATTGCAAATAAGTATGCAATCCCAAACCAGTCTTATGTGGGTTTAAAAAAAAGCATCAACAATCAGAACGGAATAGCAGGGGAAGAAAAGCTTATGTCATTCAGTTCTTTGGAATATCAGATATAAAAAAAAGTGGGAGTTTTACTGACTATTGTTAAGTTTATGTTTTTCTCATTCTCCCACATGGGTCCTTATAACACTAGTAGTGTGTGGGTGGATGTTAGATTGTGTTTATTTATGACAGGCATTATTCACATAAGATTTTCCTGAGAATGAGTGAAAGGATTACAACAGTGGGTGATTTTGGGGGAAAATACTTTGCTGAAGTTCTAACTTTAAATAGAGTACATATAAAAATACATATAAAAGTACCTGAAAAAGTTAGCGGTAAAAGTTTATTTATTTTTCTAATTAAATTACTATCAAATGTAAGGATACATTTATATAATTGAGTGAGACCCATTGTAAACTGATTTGAGACTGTACAAGACTAGTTTTCTTGAGGATGCTTAACAGTCCTGCGCTCTGGACTTAATTTGAAAGTGTTGCAATTGACTGCATCAAGTTTCCTTCAGAGAAAGAAAAATTCGGTATTGGCTCAGTTCAAACCTGCTTTCCAATTTTGAATGAATAATGTTTTAATAGTGACAAAATGACAAAAAGAGTCTCTCTTGGGCAGTTTCAATCCATTTTGGTAGCAGGGTAATATCCATGGCATAAAACGTCAGCCAGCATAATTGGTGTTAAATTTGCTTGTTGCAAAGTGAATTGCCTGCAAAAAAAACTCGAGCTTACATATTGACTCTGCTATAGAACCATCAGTGGCTGAGCAATTACCTGTACATACTGACTGTAGCCTCGGCCATTATTTGGGGAGCAAAGCTGAGAAGTAGTAAGTGGAGCATTTCTATTAATGTAAATATAGCCTATTTGAAATACAGCCTGCAATTCATATTTACTCAAGCAAATAGAAAAGTCTATAGACCTTGAATAGCAGCTTTGGAGGAAGTCCAGTACTTTGGATAAAGGTAGCTGGCTGAATATTAGTTAAAAGCCCCACTTTGTTTATTTTGCACCCGATCCATGCTATTAGTGACACTGGGTGCCAAAGTTGAAAACATGTAACTGTAACATTCCACACCTTCAAAAGCGTGAAAGAAAATCAAAGATTATTTTTAATAGTACACCTTTCATTGTTATATACTCTCAACATCACACAACTGTGGAGAATTACTAACCACCCAGAGAAAGAGATCACTCCACAAATTCAAACTTAGATTAATGTCACAATGTCATTAACCCTGGAGGTAATTTTCTTTCAATTTAGCTTCTGCCCTTTTGAAGATTGTGCTTCTCTAAGTGATTTTCCAATTTCTTCACTCGTTTGCAGACTGACAAGTTAAAGCTGGTTTGATCACT